CTAACTTCACTATTTTTCCTCCAAGCGGTTTGCTACAACAGTTTTCAGCGTTTCAAATTGCTTAGCATGCATAATGCCTGCCAAAGAAATACTTGTCAGCCTTGTGCGTGAGTCATCTTTCTCCCATTTAAAAATGGAAAAATCGCTTTCAACTGAGGTAGTATTTGGAAAAGCAGTAGCTAGACCACCGCACAACTCTCGCAAATGCAGAAAACGTCCATTTAAACAATCCCATGCCTCATTGAAGAAAGTCTTCTTGATGTGATTGTCAATGGTATCTTTCACATTCACCTCACGCCCGTAAACAAGTAGCAGGTCACGGTGTTCACTCTCCGCCTTGTCGATCATGTCAGTGCTCCACTGCTTGCCCAGGTGTGCCATGTATTGATCCATCACCTTGCTGATAAATAAAGCAGGATTCATCTTGACTACATCTGCTGGCATCACAGGAGGTGCTTCCAATTCCTTGACATGATTGTTAGAACCACGTTCTGCCTTGATCTGCAAACCGTTTGCCACAATAGAGAGTGAAAAAGTACCTATCTCCTCCAATGTCTGCTGTTGCTCAAATCTTGAAAGCTCATAATACAGATCCATTGCCCACAAACCTTGATTTAATATATGCATGACAATAGAATTTTTGGTTACAAACAAACCATCTTGCTGAACGATTGTGATAGAATCAATTTCGTTCAGCGCTGCATCTGTAGTAGAACGAATCTCCAAACTATCTGCAATGTCTGTCATCAGCTTTGCTAACTCTTGGCGTTGCTGAGGGATGATCGGCTTTGGAGATTGGATTGAGGAGATATTGGCGGCAATCCGCTCAAACAATGGTGATAGAGCTCCTACAATGATCCACCATTGCATGGACGGGGCTTGGATATGTTGTCTATTCTCCACGTGAATCATCAACCGACGACGATGTTACAAAAGTCAACAGAGATGTTCCAAAAGCTACCAAACGCCACCCATCGCGTTGTGTCCTTTGGGCATTTGGAACCCATTTCGTTGATGAGATTTTGTTGAGCTCGAAGATGCATAGAAAACGCATGGGCAACCTTATAAAACATCTCGTTCAACACACCATGCGTGGCATTTTTCACCACAATATCAAGCTAATGAGCAACGCACCAAATACGAAGCACAGGATTGGAACATTCCTTCTCAAGCAATGTGACAACTCCAGCGTGCCTACCTGTCATTGTATTTCTCCATCTGAACTGATTGAAATGATTTTGTCGCGCCAAGATGGACACACACTGTCAAGCATAGTCTTGATGAGCTTGACATAGTTTTGAGCAGTATGGCGTTCAAAGAATGGAACCAGCACCAGGTGGAAGTTGTACAACACGCCTTTCACGCACACACGAATTCGCTGGTCAAGTACAGGAACTCCCAAATGTGTGCTTGCATCAGCCGCTAGAAAAAACGTCCAAATGTTTGAATCCATGAGTATATCGGAGATGATCTGTAGGGCGACGGCAAGGAGCACACGCATGAACTGACTCATCATATGATCGTTGAGGCAGTTCAATTTTGGATTTTTGGTCGCTACACGATGCTGTTCAATCACCTTGACTGTCTGCCTAAATGACAGTCCAACAGAAACATATTGCATGGCAAGGTTGAACCGCAAAGAGTTCTTGATCGTAACCAAGTATGATCCGTCTGGCTGCAGTTTGAACAACTTCATGGCGTTGGCCTTGGTGATTGGCTGGAACACATCGTCTTCTTCGTCTTCTTCCAGATGAAAAAACAAATCTCCCACCACAACATCAACTATCGGAGACTGAGAAATTACAAACTGAAGAGTGTCCTTGTCTGTGTCTAGGTAACGGTGTATGCCTGATATATCTCTGGTCTTGAAGAAACTAACCTTTTCTTGATACGAAAGCTGTTGGTAACTGGTCCAATCTTCAGGATGCTGAGACTCCAAGTGATTTTTATAGGCTTCAAGACGAAACGGAAACTGAAACAGTTGCGTGTTCTTGGTTCTCTGTCGCTTCACACCTGCACCATCCCGTTTTTCACGACCGATATGGACGCAAAATAAACACTGAACTGTTGTGATGGTGCCCTGTACAGATCGTTGTACCGGTTGCAAACCAAACTCGACGTCATGTTTGACCTGAAATGAAGTTTTTCGACTCATGATGGATTGCAAAAGCTTCGCTGTGACTTCGGTGCTTGCGTTTGAGACAAGAGAACTTCGGGAATGCATTCCTAACCTAAGATACTCCTTCCCGCTATCCACTTTTCGCCTCCCCTTGGATGCGTGCGAGATTCTCTACATTCTGACTTCCTACACCTCCCGCCTTATCTTTGTATTTTTTGTCAAAACTTCATAGAGGTGTCGACTAAGTGGGCTTGATTAATTCTGGCATATTTTCCAGATTAATTTTGGCAAATTTGGCGTCTACAGATAAAACGTCAGATTTTAGGAACCATGGTATATATACCATGAGTGTGATAAGAAGACAATCACTTCAAGCATTAAAGCAGTAAACTCTCTAGTGTATTCCTCCGTTGACGTAGCCCCTGAGGGTGAACCACGTTATACGTGTGTACTCTTGTATTTCTCGTATTGTTGGATTGGTCTAAGTGTGTCGATATAATTCTCGTGTTTTGCATTTACAGTTTATTTAACTATAAAATAATTATTATCACATAAAATAATGAATATTAAAAAAATTGATATTGACTTTATTTCAATATCTTTAAATTGATGTGCATGAAAATTTTGAAACAAAAAATTTCAGTTATAAATGAAATGGAGCTACATTTTTATAATAAATGAGCATAGTGAAAAATGCACACGCATATACTTATTCTATAAAGCATTATACAATCTTATTCTAATAAACTTCATTTTGATATCTTTTGTAGTGATATTTTAATTATTGATATATTGATAATTATTCAGATATTTTATCGCGAGTATCATAAAAAACATCAAAATTTAAATTTCCGTAGATATGAATTACAAAGTTTAGTTACAAATCCAATTCATCAAATTTTACTTCTAGATATGTATGACTTTGTTGATAACTATTGAGTGAATATTGCATGTATAAGGTTTTCAAGTGTGGTTGTGAAGTTAGATTGATTATAAAAGATTTGACAACATATGTAGCATTTATTGAGTGATATTAGTGATACATGTATAGCATATTTGAATGTATTTCTATTATATTGTGGAATTTTTTTTGCATGTATTATGCCTTTTTGATCTATAAAGACAAAATATATTGATGTTGATGTACTTGAAAATGAATTGCTTTATACAGATTTGACTAGTTTTGATTTCCAAATGAGATGGATGTAGTTGATTAATTGATGTGATTGCAAGATTAGTAGAGGATAAGTTTTAGAGTTGCTGTTGATATGTTGAATGTATAGCTATATTAAATTGCATTTATATAGTCAATTAGTACTCACGTTCACGAAGGGCGAGTTGAGCTCTCTTCTTCAGATTGTGTATGAGTGAGTTGGTCATACAAGTATGGAATGCGGATGTTAAATTCATTTGTAACATTCAATAGTTTGTCGGATTAAATGAAGTGATTTTATAATAAGATACAATCATAATTTTTTTTCTTCCTCTCTTAGTGTTTTACATTTTAATGCTTCGTACTTAGGATACTTATCTCTCTTCTATAGAGATAAGTAAGTTAAGTAGTGCTATCTTAGCGAATCATGATGATTATGTACACAATACACTGATACCTGATTTATTGATGATTTCAAGACAGGAGAGTTCAATAATAGTTATCATCAGTCAAATGAATTGATGTGAAATGTAGCTTGAAATACAACATGATGATCTATTCATATACAGAATTATATACTCTCCATTATAAATATATTTGAAAGTATTTCTGAATATACTCCACTAGGTCTCAGACTATTGTTGATGTATAACATGAAGAAAATTATTAGTAAATAAATTGTTAGTAAATAAAATTGTATTGTACTGAGTTTTATTGCTGGCTCTAATAGGAGCAAAGTTGGATTTATTGGAAATCTACTATGAACAAAGGTAGTGATCTCCTTAATTTTATTATGTTTATTTGTATTTAGGACCCTAGGGTTAAGTCAGGGACTTCACCTCAATAATGAAAGCCGCTTTTATAAACATTGCCAAAATAGAGCAGGAACATATTAATTCTTGGTGAAAACTACAGATGATGGCAGGACTTCAAGTTTTCAGGCGCAAAAGCGCAAAAAATCAAGATACAACCCAACCCGGCACCCAGCAAACAACAACAGGCAGGAGATAAACGTAGGCCAACCAGCAAACTACAGCACATAAAACACACTGCAGGAACGGATTAATTATTGTGGGAGGGATTTTAGAAAACTGGACATGCTCTGAATTAGCAGTTATCACATGGAGTCCTTTAAGAATTGGAGAAAGAGCAACCTGACCCCTTTGCACCATAGCCAGAGGAACAGAGTAAAACAAAACAAAACACACAGCCGAGCCGAACCAGGTGGAAGCACCAGTGACGTCTGGCCAAGTGGACTGGCCAAGTGTGCACCACCGCGTCACTTAAAACTTCGCAGCAAAGGAAAGGAGGAGTCAATCGATGTACAATCGCGGACACATCATCCTCGGAGGGAACGAGCCCGCCATGAAGAATCCGAGAGAGAACCGGCACAGGACCGGCTACTCCCACTCCGTTCCGGTCACTGTCCACGCCCGAGAAGAAGCATATTTTGGCCCCGACTCTAATACGTCTATTTGCAGACTTCACTAGTGAACTTTAGTGGACCCACTAGTTACAGCTATCGAAAGCTTCGTGTTAGGGGGACCTCGTCCGCTGAGACTATGTGCTGTCCATCGAACACTAGACGGGTCCATCAGGGACGACCTTCTGGGTCCGTTCCGCTGGCCGCGTAACAGTCACGCGCCTCGACTGAAACGCAACGTAACGCGACGGGAGCACCGAGTTCTGGCTTTACTTAAGGTGACGGAAAGTGGCGGCAGAGACGGAGGCCGGGAGTCGGGGATCGGGGCTCGTCGAGCGAAGCGGGGCGCCAGCGGAGCAGGGGAAGGCGGAGGAGGTGGACGGGGAGCTGTTGGCGTTTGTTGGACGGACGAGGACAGGCGCTTGCGAGGCAGCCAGCTTCACGAGAAGTGGTCGATCAAAGCTTTTCTGCGCGGATCTCTGTCGTCAGTTTGATCGACCTGCTGTGCTTGTTGCGTCTCTCGATCGCGATCGTGCTTGCTCGACACTTCGAACCTCAGTCCGGGAATTCTCTCTCGTGAGATCGGTAGATTGGTCGGTCGTCGGGCACCATGCCTGGGTGGATTGACGCCATCATTTCCAAGTTCTCTTCAGGGGACTCTCTGCCGTGGACCGATGCTCAAGTGATTCAGGTGAGTTCGGACTGACTTTCGCCCCCTTGTTTTTGCTATTCGTCGTATGGGGAATTTGTGTGCTGGGCTCCTGGTTGGAGCTTAATCTCGCATGTTGTATGTAGTGATTGTCTCGATGTTAAGGTGTTGTGGATATATTCCCATTGCTTGAGTGGTCGATGCCCATCCTTAGCAGTCACATGATTGTCGGGTTTTTCCCGTTTGAGTAGTCCTAGCATTCTCGGCCGAAGCCGTCGAGCTCTGACAAATAAGCTCGATAAGCCTTCCTCGTGGGAAGAGGAAGGCTTATCCTCTTCCCACGATCGTCTTACAATCATTGACCCAAGACCGAATTTTCTATCTGGGGGTTTATTGCTTTCGGGGGAGCGGTAAACATCGCGCTAATTTGATGAAATCTGTTTTAGATGTTCTGTGGAGAATTTCGTTCCTGTAATTTCCAGAATTCTGCGATCGACGCTCTTTTGAATGATTGAGTCGTGGATTATCTAATCAATTAGCAGATCTACTTGGGAATATTAGGGTTATTAGGCGTCGATGTGGACAAAAGCCGAGGTTCAGGCTGGGCATTCTCGTTTTCTGAAAGTTGGTCCTCAATGGAGATGCTTAAACGAAGGTGAAGAGTCTAAGTTCTGAGGTCTAGAAGTAGGAAATACTCTTGTTGTCTGCAGGGGTCAATTTCGTAAGATGCGAGCTTTGGTTATAATGAGCATGGTGGACACGAATTATGAGCATCTCCCGTACCCGTAGACACCGCTTCCGTACCTACATGTACGGAAGCGGCTCATATTTTGCTCGTAATATACGGTGCGATGTGGTATATGCAAGAAATTTGCTTCGCTTCTTCTGGAGCTAGATTGGGGATATCAAGTTGTTATCTCTCACAGTTGGTTCAGACACTACTGCAAGATTGAACACGCAGTGCTCTCTTACGATCAGGTGGTCTGTTGGTAATAATGATGTGAGAACGTCTTAGTTCGAGTTCAAATGGTTGAGAATTTAACTTTACATGAAATTTTTGTGGCGTAAGCCCAGCAGACGTCCAATTCCCTCTGTATGTGACTGAATGTTAAACGTCATGCGGGTTGGTATTTACTCTTCAAAGAAATGTACGTGTCTTACTGTATATGGTGTTGCATAGAAGGTGCGAGGATCTCTGACACCTTTTGAATCTTTTGGGGGCTAACAGCAGGGCTGTTTAACAGTCACTTCAGACGTCAGCCATCACCTTTTTACTAGAACCGAATAGATCATATATATAGTCGTACGTGCAGAAGAAGCCCTGTCTTTGCAACCACGTCTAGTTTACAGTCATGGCTCAGCATTGTCTACGCTCAGCAAATGACACGTACTAATTGATGTGGATTTTGAAGCTAATCGTGTGTTCGTTACGTACCTTAACTTCCAGGACCTTGAAAGGGAGGCAGCGCAAGAAGGACAGGGAAAAAATAAAAGCGAGAGCATCATGAGGCTCGCTTGGGCGCTTGTGCACTCTGCACAACCTGCTGATGTGCAGCGTGGTATCGCTATGCTGGAATGTATGGCACCAAAACTCGAACAATATTCTGGCTTAGATACTATTCAGTTTTATTTGCCTGTTTCGATTTTGTTGCTTGTAATCAGGTATTAAATCACGGGTTTCGACGTGCAGCATCTCTGGGTGGTCAAGGTGGACCTCTTCAAAAGTGGGAGATTTTGTACCTTCTAGCAGTGGGCCACTATCGGACGGGCGATCTAGGAAGATGTCGTCGTTTGGTTGATCAGGCGCTTGAGGTACGCAAATTTTACTCGTTTTTGGGAAACTATCATTGTGTTACCTTGCAGGAATTGGCAGAGTAGTCCTTTTACGCCTGCAGGTCATGTTTGAGAAATCATGACATGTTAAAATCTGTCCCATCCCCTGGCTTTTGTCTACGGCCTGTAATACTATCAGCTAATTAAAGAGGAGTGTCGGAACAGTGCGCCAAGCAGAAACATAAAAAATACGAACTTTGTTAACACATGTGAATGTCTTCAGTCTAATGTTTCATTTTGAATGTATCTGACATGCTTTGCTAACACATGTGAATGTCTTCAGTCTAATGTTCCATTTTGAATATATTTGACATGCTCATGCTTTTGCAGATTGCACCTGACTTTAGACAAGCTGTGGCTTTGAGGAAAATGGTGGAAGACAAGATTGCGCAAGGTAAGATTGGCTATTTCCATTTGGACAGCTGCCAAACTCTTTGTAGAGGCCTTAGCCAGATTATCATATCTGCAAGGTTGTTGGCTGGGTTGTGGCTAACGAGAGACTTTAATGATATGAAAACCTGAACATTCTTTTCTGACCTTCGGTGTTGCTGTGTACAGAAGGAGCTATCGGGGTGGGGATTGCTGCAGCTGCAGTGGGAATTGTTGCGAGTGGGGTTGCAGCTCTTCTGATTCGCAAGAAGTAGTTTGCCTCGTGAAAATTTGGCAAGTGTGTTGGTGTGTTGCGACAAAGATGGGAGAGGAATCAGTACTAGCTCCGAAATAGAAAGCTTATGTCTATTATATGAGAAGCACACACAACGAGAATAGATTGTAAATCAGTCGGTTGAAACAAATGTATATTACTACATTCCGTAATATTTTTTCCAACAACAGGTTAGGTCGCGTTGCATTTTTCGAAATGAGAAGAGATGTACAAATAAAGCCTTGTATTACTTGAGTTGATCAGTTCAGTTCGGCTTCAAGAGTAAGAAGGTATCAGCCTACGAAGAGGAGTCCACATGGCACTGAAATTTTGTGACCAAATGTTTTCAAACCCTGTAGTATTTCCGCGTGAAGCAATCCATCATCTCCTTTTTCTGTAATTTACAGGTTGCATCTTTCCGGGTTTGATTGTGTGGCGAGACTATTCCAGTAGAGATTGCACTTTTCTTGATGGGACGCCAAAGCTTCGTGACGCCGCTCCTACTGCGAACATACGAAGAATTGAGGTCATTGCTAAGGCGAATCATGCCTGGAGGCCAAGGAGGGATAAGGACAGGGAATGGCATGTTTTTTTCAATAAATATTTTTCTGGTTGCTCTATTCGGTTCTCGGAGATTATCCGCGTTTGTCTTCTCTCGATCGTTTCAATGCGTCCATGATTGCGGGCTTCTTGAGCAGTCCCAACATACACACATTATACACACGCGATTTTGTGAGTTCGTTGACACATTCGTCACACTTCATCATCGATGAAAAGATCTGAAGTGTTTGACTTGTTTAAATCTCAAGTAGATTAGGTGCTGAAATGGTGGCAGACACTACTGTCCGGCAAATACTGTGCAGCTAACAGCTCTCACTTAACATTGAAGAGGCGTCTTGTTGGTCAGCTGTAGGCATTCCCATTTTAATATGGATATGTCGCTCCCAGAGAAAGAGCTTCACACCGAAATACCGCCGAACCAGTTAATTTACTGATACAGATATCGGCTGATACATGCTATACTCCAAGGGAAAGTGATTTAAAGGCATTGCCAAGCCTTATAAGGTGTGCTCATATTCAAATCGAATGCAATAATAGACTAAGATGGTAAGGCTTGGGAAGTGGGATGCTTGTGACGAGAACCGATAGCCATGACTATCCGTTTCCTGTCGTCGGGAAAAGTTCGTTGGACGAGAATCTTCCGTTCAGGGCTGAAGATGTACCGGCGAGTCCTTCCTAAGCACGGGTAGGGTCTTGCCAAGAATCTCCAGACAGAGTGCTCTCCTGGAATCTGAACCTACGTCCCTGAGGCCTCAACAGCTCGGAGTGCACGGCTCTTTCTGAGTCTCCTACATGCAGCAAACTTGCGTACATGACACAACCCCCCGTGCTAGGAAGGTCTGGCAGTGTGCGCCGCAGAGAAGGTCGGAGTAGATATTTGGAGCACGATCAGCTGCCCGCTATTTGCTTCGAACATAGGGACATGAACTTAAGGTTCCCAGCAATTTCCCAACGCAGTTTGCAACTTCGTACATTGAAAGATGAGGAAAGTAATTATTTTTCACAGGTTTAGGACGGTAAGCTCCTTAGCGGCATTGTCATTACGCACCGTTGGACGACAGCGAAGAGTCTGATTCATGCTGTATATCTTGTATGAGGACATCGAGAGTTAGAGTAGAAGGATTACGTCCTTGTAAAATTTCGAAGCTGTAGGCTGGGGTGTCAGATACTGTTATTCATAAGGTACCAGGTTCTATTGTGAGTCCAAATAATTCACAATTTCAAGGCCTGTTCAGAACTTTAGATTTTCCGATGAACAAATGCGTCGTGAGATCGCCTTTCCTGCAGCTGGGGTGAATCACAGGAAGTTGGCACACACACACTCTGGCATTGGCCACTTTCTTTCTCTCCTCTAAAATTCACATTCTCGTCGTTCTGCAGAAGGGTGCTCTCCAAGAGAAGGAACCAATGCGGTGTAAATGGGGACCGAGAATGCCAAGCCAAGTCTGCAACATGAGCCCAATCGCCACAAGCCAATGGATGAGTTGAATATCAAGGACAACAACATCTTTCTTACAGTCCTTCACTCAACATTTTGCGAAGATGGGAAAGCTGCCATTGTCAGGTCCGTGGTCATCACTCGCTTCGCATAGAGTGGGGAGTAGAAAGCGAAAAAGCATCTTACTGAAGCCATAGACTCGCAGCAGAAGAGGTTTGTGTCTACTCCCGTTCTGATATCTTATTCAGAAACATAATGAAGCGCAGTCAGTCTCTGCCTCATATGCCACGGACTTGTGTCAAATTCCTCTTCCAGTTTGTCCTCAAGGTAAAGAAACATTGTCTAAGCCCTCCTACAAGACCTTCTTGGGATAAGCATCGTGCCCAAACCTACCACTTTCAATCTCTCATATGCGGAGCAGAAAGTGTCTGACATCTGATCATTTCCCTTCCGGGGTACGTCATTCTGTGCTCTGATCACAGAAGACTTTTATTCGGCGGTGCACGTGAAAGACGACGGCAATTAACAGCAGACTGATCTCTCGCGTTTCTGAAGTCTTTTCTGGCCAGTATGTGGTTTGTAGGAAATGAAGTATTCTTTTCCCAACGACGTGTGAACTTGTCGCGAACGTAGACCTCGAAATTGCAGAAGAGTCAGCAGACAGTTGTTGCTACATACTCCAGGGGGTGCGAACCATGGTCAAAGCTTATCTCCATCTAATGTCTTTAGATGTACACGGAATACAATGAGTGTATCCAACTTTGAACTGCTTATGGATAGCAGTGCGTAGAGTTTTACCGCCTCTGTCATAGACTTTCCATTCTATGCTATCTGCTTTCAACAATGTCATCCTCTTCTTCCCTCTTCTTTGTGGCCCAACCTTTTGATTTTCACATTCTCCGGATGCGTTACTCCGTTGCTCGATTGAACGGAGTTCACCACAGTCAGCAGAACCAGTCTCTGAAACACGGAAGTGTTTCGATGTGGGTTGTAAGCAACTGGTTCTCTTCGGCCTTTCATGATCAGCATGTGCTGCTGTCTTACGTCTAACTTGTCTCCGAACACAGACAGACAGCTTCGCCCCAGAGGTGGTCAATCATAGGGACCGATCCGAGGGACGCGAGAGATTGATTCCTTCTGCAGATCAATGGCCGCTAGGCTGCGTCTTCGATCCAGACTAGGGGCACTCGTAATGAATCCGTTCCCTCGTTGCCATCCTTCGGACTCGAGGAAGAGAATCATTTCACGATTGAGTCGTTCCTCGAGAGATCGGCCTCTGTCGGGTTCTGAGTTCGTCAGTCATTGACATGAATCGGAAGCTCGAAGCTGCGGGAGCACTCACTGTCCTCCTCTCTGGAAAAGCCCTCAAGCACTCTCGCTCGAGTGGCCGTTGTGGGCCGGTCACCATCGTCGGTCATTAGGGTGCCTTCTCTCTGCACAGTCCGGTACCGGGATGATACCGGACCGGCCGGTCACCGGAAGTCGCAGGCTGCGGTACAGTGTATCGGAGCCTGTGGACTCCTTTCATTCTAGTATGTTCTCCTTTATTGAATTTATTCGGACACAACTCATTACCTTTAGCTTAATTACATAAATTAATTGGATAGGCCGATGAACACCAAGTCTGGTTGGTGTAGTTGGTCATCACGCTAGTCTCACACACTAGAGGTCCCCGGTTCGAGCCCGGGATCAGACATAATTTTTGATCCTTCCTATTTAAGGATCCGAAGGGACAGCTCGTTTAGATGGGTGGTCTCTATACATATTGTGGGCTTACCATGAAGTTGAATTCTGTCATCTTGCTTAGGATTCCTTACTATTGTTCTAGTATGAACTTTCGAGCACACTTGGAATAGTCGAATCTGAACACAAAGTGGTTGGACTACGTCATCGTCGTAATCCTGTGAGAACTCCCACCTGCATGAGTGCCATGAACATTGGTCTCTTTGACCTGCAGGGAGAAAGTGCTATGCAAGCCCTATCTATACAGAGAAGTCGTAGGAATTTGACTGCGATGATGCTTATTTCATTGCAACTAGTGCACGTCGTTGGAAGCTGATATCAAGATTTGAAGGTGATCAATCGCGCTTCACGCTTCCTCGACTTTCACTGTGTATGGTCTATGGAAGCTCGCACGCTGTAGTAAGGCCCAGTTGACATAGTTTCGGAACATGAGAACTTTTTATGAGAGAAAACGGCTGACCTTTGAACCGAAAACCTTGCTATTGACCTTTCAGCTGCCAGCCTGGTTGTTCAATCCGAGGCGTTTCATGGCGGACATCCCACGATTCATCCTCGTATTCTAGGAAGAAGAATCAAAAGGTATGGAATTTGGTGCGGGTACGATTCGCCCAAGAAAATCAGGTTCAATCGCTTGCTGACATCCTAGAAAGATTAGCTCAAGCACATGATTGATTCTCACGTGAGCAATCATATGCTGCTCTAGGCTTAACCATAACTTCTCCATGGCGAGTCTTGATCTCAACGTTGAGGGCGGAGCGGCATGAGTAGTGCCATCTTGTTGCTTTGATGACTTTGATCCACGCATTACGATAAATTTTTACTACCGTATCAGAATGGTGTACACCTTGGGGACTAAAAAGTGGTGGGCATGGAGGTGTACAAGTCGAGCAGATATTGAAAGCGGATAGAGTGAGAGTGATTAGAAATATGTGTGCTGGATGTGATTTTGAGGTTATATGTCCGTGGACTGGATTTAGTTGAACGATTTGCGTATTATGTCTAGAAGATAGCGGAATTGGTTTGACCCAGCGAGCTTAGTAGTGAACACACTTTGAATTGACGAAGTGAGATTTTTACAACCACATAGTTTAATACATGACTCTAATGATAAATAATTACATGAATGTATCATTTAAGGGTTTTGGAAATGTTTATGTTATTTTTTGATAGGATTTGATTCATATCGAATCCCTCTCTTACAACTACTTTCACATGAAACTAGTTGGAACATTATGTTCTACGGAATGATATGAGCCCAACCTGTGTTGGGCTCATATCATTCCGAGCTTTCATCATCAGTTTGTTAGAAGTTAGTCTACTTCTTGCGCTGGTAAAAGATATTTGATCATTTGATGTCGAGGAAATCTGATTGCCATTGGTTAATAGTATATTCTCACTTGCATACATCTTTGGTAAGCTTAGTAAGGTTACAGTGATACCATTGAATCTCATTTTGTGTAATTTTTGGGCCCATATATTAATTTCTTCTATCATCATAAATTATTCACAAAACTCAAATTCATACAACTATTTGCTAGGTCTCGCCAAGAAAACAATTTAGAGTTTTTAATTTGTCAAATACAAAGCTCTCATATCTATTGTCTAGATCTTGTTAACTTGTGTGTTCTATTCATTTGCAGATAATATGTATGTATTATCTGCAAATAAACGCATTAATGAAAGGCTAGTTCAATGACTTTCATTTCTAAACTTATTGGACAATACCTTGGTTACTTCAATACCAAGCTGCATCTTATGGTCTTAAATATTAACGGGTTTAAGTGTTATGAGTGATCTCCTTGAAGCATTAATACTCATTTACAGCTTTGAGAAAAATATATAACATTGACACACAGCTCGACTTGAACAGTTTATCTTGAGATTGAACAGTCTGAGAACGTGGTTCACGTTGATGACACTCCTCTACTCAGACACCAACTGGTACATATGGTGTTTAAATAAAATACATCATATGTAACGTTTTGTACACTTTATTCTAGATCTGCTTAGATCATCAACGAAGTGAATGACGTCGTCAGATCGGAGACTTGAGTGTATGATAAATTCTATTTGCAAAGAGATATATATATATATATATTTCTTCTAGGAATATTGTTTCATAATTTAAAGATTGTGGCACCTACAAGATTTTAGGCTATCCAATCATTCTTGTCATATGTTTAGTTTTGGTTTTGCGATTGTGAACATAACTATCCTGGGTATGTATGCAAAGAATGTAAATACATTATTATATTTCTCTATTTAAACATTTTCATTGCCACACACATTAGACTCCTAGGTATAACATGAGCTTACTTAGTTCTTCATTCAATTATTCATTATTGAGACTAGAATTATATAATTTATAAATGTATACCTAGACATCGCACTTTACATTTAGTATTACTGGATTCGCCCAGACTCTATTAAAAATGCTCTTAATGTTATTGCTCAGCCAGAAATGCATACTTATGGATCTTGGCTTGAAATGTATCAGGGTTTTCCAATTTGCACTAGTTACTCTTTCATAATGATGAAGTTATCCTGGACTTGGTTTGATTCAACTAAGCATACAATAAACCTATAACTTGTTTGAAAGTACCAGTTAAGGTTGCAGATATGATGGTTACCAAGATAGATTCCGAGACACAATCAACCATCTCCTTGTTACATGGACAGTGATTCATCATAACTAAGTAAGTACACACAATGTAGAGATACCAATTCTGTGTTAATCTAAGTTTGGAGTTATAAGTACGTGTAAGTTATAGTTGAATGTTCATCTTAAAAGAAAGATTGTAAGTACCTCTAATTTGTTGTAGAATATGTTCGATTTGAAATATAGTATATTGTCAACATTATCCATTGTTTCATATTTCATGATGTTTCGTCGGGTTGATGGGTCTTCCCGTACGTTGTCTTATTACTTCACCCCCTTCTTCTTGCTCCTGGTGGACATACACCCGTTACGGCACTACGTGGCTTTTATGTTTTGTACAGCTATTCCTTCCCATCCTTTCTTCTTTAGCTCTTTGGGCCCGCAGAGCAACTACGTGGCGTCAGTCCGATTCCAGCCCGACGATTCTAGTTCGTGACAACCATCGCCAGCATAATCTCCTCTGTGCCTCCCGAGCACGTTTCAACGATCCACCGCGAACGAAAGAATAATGCTGCGTGGTTCGATGTTCGCCCGAAACGGCGTCGTCCTTCTTTAGGTGGTCATGTTCTTCTAGCAATATTCTGTATGGAACACACTTCTTCATTTCAGCGTCGCTCTGTTTGCTGCCACTATCTTCATGACTCATCTTCATTGCTGCCACATCTTCATTTACTTCCTGTTATTCGTCGTTCTTTCAAACGTCCCCGTCTCCTGAAGGGGAATTCTCGATATCACAGAGTGATTTCGAGAGGAGTCCGACGTGAAGGTCAGGGCGGTTTCTCATGTACTTCTTCCTGACATGGAACAACAGTTTTTGGCTTTCCTCTTCATACTAACCTAGGGCCAAAATCGCGCTTTCTAGATTTGCCAGAACTTGACAATATAAGAAGAGGCAGCATCTTCTGCTCTTTCACGCTGTCAACAGTGTGTGTGTTATCTACTTCCTGTCTGTCAACAACGTAAGACCTGGTTGTCGGATCCTACGGCATATGAACTTGGCTTATTAAGCTGTTTCCTGTTTGCACTGCTTCTTTTAAGACACGATCCGCCCTGTCCACGATACAGATTCATCTGAACCTCTTGGTGAGTGTGTGTACTTCTAGAAACTTTCGCGGCTGTAATTATCCGCTGTCTGGTTAGATTGCCACTTCTGATTATATCTCAGAAATCTTCAATGGCTTAATTGTGCAAGGAATCCGAAGCACCATCCGAATCACCATCACGTGTGAGTCCGATCCGAGCAATCCGGGATCTGAAAACTGATTCAGAATCTTTTGTTTTCAATCATTATCCTGCATTGGATTTCCTGCATATCTGCTCCATGACTTCATGCTGAGTAATATATTATGGACAATACTGATGGTACAGAACTATGTCCAAACGTCCGACAGTATAGCACATGCTCTTGGGTAAGAAGTGGTCATACTGCAATACTTCTAGAACAGGCACGATTTGATAACCGAGAAAAATTCATACAAAGTGTTTTTAGTTCTCAGAATGGAAATTTTCTGAATCCTCGTCCCTGCCATCTCTCGGTTTTGCTTCAACAGGAATTCAAGAGGATCGTGCCTGCAACATCCTCCGCATGAGCGCATCCTGAATGTGACTGAGCAATTTCTCCATCAAACTGTTCGATGTGTGGTTTCCCAGCAGCTATGTGTGTCGTATTGAGCTGGACATGGACCGGGCGACCAATTGGTCGAATGTGAATGGTGGTACTCTTGTTCGGCACTACGGAATCTGAAGCAGTGGTAGGCAGTTTCTCTGGTACCCGAAGGTGGCTCTAAATGATGGCGACTGCGTCGAGAAAGCCCGGTGCTGATAATAGTTCTTCCGCGCTCAGCAGCAGTGCCCAGGTCAAGATTCGAGTCGGTTCCTCTTACCGCGAGCTTGCTTGCGTATTCACGCTCATTTTCCTCCCTGTCATCATCTTCCTCATCCACTCGTCTTCGCCAGCTCCCTCGGACCCAATTTCTCTACAAAGAGTAGAGAAGATCGAGGATGATCCAGTCCTTCCATTCTGCGAACCTCCCCTACACTTCCTCACAGAACACTCTCTCCTCGACTGCGCAGCTCGAAAAGCTCGCTTGCACGAGAGGAATTCTCGAAATGTGGCCAGCAAAGGGAAGCCGGGTCCTCAGAGACTCGCCTTCTGCTTTCTCTCCAGAGGCCATCTTCCTCATGAGCATTTGTGGCGACGATTTTTCCATGGTCAGGAGGAGCTCCACTCCATCTACGTCCACACGCATCCGAGCTTCCAGTTTCCCAACACCTCGCTGTTCTATGGGCACCAAGTGCCGAGCGAGAAAGTAGAGCGCATGTCCATCAGTCTGGTGGATGCAATGCGCCGCCTTATGGCCTACGCAGTGCTCGATCCTGAGCACGGGTCCACAAACTCCTGGTTCATTTTCGCTTGCGAGGTCACCATCCCAATCCGATCTTTCTCGTACACTTATGATTATTTGACCAAGTCCAGACATTCTTTCGTCGAGTCGTTCGCTCCTGTGTCGAGATATTACAGCTGGGAGACGCTGCCTGAGTTTGAACGCTGGCGTCTGCGCAAGGGCGAGGTCTGGATGGCTCTCCAACGTCGGCACGCCGCCATGATTTTGGGTGATTGGTCCATCTACTTCAAGTTCCGATCGCAATGCACTTTCGGCTGCAATCCTGATGAATCTTACGTGCAGACATTTCTCGGTGAGTGCGCTCTTTGATGTATTACAGTCGAAGTGACTTGAATATAATGCTGCTCAGATTCCAGGACATTCAAGACACTTTGTCATCAGAGCAGCAGTCGCACAGATACAAGCTTACTCCCAAAGACTGGCCACTGTGACTAACTGACAGAACTGAACTGCTCCTTAAATGGATTTCCATAATTTCAAGGAACCTACACTGCTAGATACTTCGTCAGCTCGGCGTATCGCATAGCTATTTAATTTGTGAGGGCTTTCCCCGTCAGTGACGAACTGTACTGCTTGTTGTGAATCTGTTGGACTTTGTGTTAGATTCACGAGTATGTAGATTCTGAAGCTTCTATTTTATCCAAGTCCCAGAGACTGTGAGGTATCTATCACCCACTTTACAAATGCGCTTATTGCCGAAGATTTTCTGACTGCCAGCCTCACTTGTAGGAAGTCAAGTCCACGAATCTAATCCGGATGCTGAATTTGTTAAACCATGAATTACTTCAACTCTTGAGGGCTGGAAGTTGTGCAAGTAGAAAAGTGGCATTGGTTTGCACGGAGCAGGTGACAAAGCTCATTTGAGATCGAGCACTTATAACGCCCTGATATAAGTCGATAATCAGCTGTTGCACGTGCGCTCGTGGTTGCAGCGTTGGTGGATCCAGGAGGGATAGCAAATCGCACGGTCATGTATGTGGACTGGACTGGCATCCACATCTCTTCGCCGAAGACGTTTGAAGATCGTCATATGTCACCCCAATGGGTGCAGGATATTCAAGGTCGTAGAGCCGATGGCGACGGTCAATACCACGACACCTCATTAGACATGGAAGTTCGTAACTTGAGCCGCATTACGAGAACTTGTTATTACAACGGCGTCCCGAATTCCGCTTGCTTCCTCTTCGTCAGAAAAGTTGGACCCAGAGCTTCTCCGCTGCTTGGCAATTTCACTCAGAGCATTCTTGGGTATTGATAAAGGAATACGTTGAAATACGTTTGTGCACACGATTGTCACTGAATGTTGTCTTCACCTCCACTTTGCAAGACATTTGAATATGTTTGCTACATTTCTCTTAGACGTGATGTTCATCATATTTACCCACAGCTTCCCACGTAATCTTTGCCTCGACCCATCTGGTTCGATGTAGATCTCCTAGACTGAAAATATGCCAAAATCGATTCTTGACCGAACGAATTATATTTCACCATTTTAACAGCACAATTACTCTTCCGCCTCTCGAGAATTGAAATTGTTAGATGTTGTAAAGCAATGTAAATGACGATGAAGCAAGAAAATTCATACGATCAAAATTATACATCCACGGCGTGGGAATGGCACAGTTCACATATTACTCTGTAACATCTGAACTGTGCCATTTTATTCTCGTCGATTTTATATTTGTTGTATTTTTTAATTGATCCTCATTGATAGTCTCCAAGACTTTGATATAGTATGCAATATTTCATGTCCCTAATTTCATCTACTCCACGGCAGAAATTACAGTGAAAACTTAGTTTTCGCATTTCATGCAGAGCAGGTAAATACGCTGCCTTCAATTTTACGGACTACTTTAATTTTGGGCAGCAGTACTTTTTTGTCAGTCTCTCCTTCACGCACCACTTGAGGAGTATATAAACACATGGTGCAACAGGTCAACAACATTTGCACAACTTTCAACCTTCACAACGAAATTTCAGAGCCAAGAAAGAACCTTATCACGGTAAAACACAGTAGATACACATTTATTTTAACAGAGATTGAAGATTACAAGTGCTCAGAAAGCGGAACAGCCAGTGTACACGAACTTTGGATGCCATGCCAACTTCTGGTAGCGAGAGTACTAACGTCTATGTTCACATTTCACCGTCCCAGAACTCGTTGAGTATAGCATCTTTGTCGTCTTCGGAAGAAACGAGCAGTTCTTCTCCCGCGTTGGTTCTCACCTGTTCATTCCAACAGGAAGTCGCCCAATTGTTCTTGTCAAAGAAAATAAAATCGAAACGAATCTTGCCGAGAGTATTAGTAACAATAGAATATCAAAGACGGTCTGTTTTGCCTAAAAAGCATTTTTCCAAACCGTTGATTGGTCCTTATTCCAAGGGGTAGTCTGCTTGAGTTGAGAATTCTGAGTAAAAATATATAATTTTGGAAGCTACTGCTACGGAGATTGTTGGAGTTGTATTCTTCATACCTGAGACGAGATGCTGCTGAGCTTGTCCATGTCTTCAGCGGGGATGCTGAAGTCAAACACTTCCATGTTCTCTTTGATTCTCTTGTCGCTGGATGACTTCGGGATAGTGCTTACGCCTCTTTGGATCAACCACCTGATCAAAATCTGGCCCGGGCTCTTTCCAAGCTTCTCGGCCGCCTGGGGGACAAACGTAGAAACAATTAGTATGAGTGATGAGAAATCTGCGCTTGATGGAGCTGTTTTACTCAACCCTTGCATAGTTAAAACACAAAAAGAAAAATAAAATCCTGAAAAAAAACTTCAACCTCTACTAGGTGAGCTAAAGGTGGCATAGTCATACTAAAGAGAGCCGAAGTCAGAGCAAAACTTCTGTACAAATATAGCAACCTCTTTCAATTAGAGTTACAATGAACTCGAATGTACCTCAATCACTTCGGGTGTGTCAAAAAGGTCAGTGGATGAGGATCCCAAGGGAGAGTAGGCCTGCGTAGCAAATCCACGAATGCTAATACTTCAGTAACTCGCATGAAACAACTCGTCCCTACTCTTGCTCACAGATAAACAGAGGATCACAAAGCGAGTGCAAATGATTCCTCCAAGTTATCATAATTATTAAATTGGAGTCAGATGAAAGTTTCCGCTCCGTATATCGAATTCTTTTCCCTCTGTGTAGAATTCTTGTCACACGGGGATGTCATCGTGGACATACCGTCACGTGAATATTATTCTTATTACAGTAGGCCAGGACATTGTCGTTTCTCCACGATGGATGCATTTCCACCTGAATAGCCAGAACGCAAACAAAGCACGAACTCAGTAACTGTTGTGGGGAATTTTCTGGACTAAATATATGAACTCAATTCATGAAATCTGAACTCTATTCACTTGTAAACAAGTATGCATTTATACGCAAACTGATAGAATCAGAGGTCCACAGTTATCCAAGAAAAACTGACAAGATCACTCACTTGATTTACAGCGGGCTTGATAGATGCAAAAGACATAAGTTTTTCCAATTTCGGGACGGAGAAGTTGCTAATTCCAATGTCTCGCACGAGCTTTCGTTCCACCAGCCCTTCCATCTCTCGCCACACTCCTTTCACATCAAAAGGTAAAACTTGTCTCTTCTTGGGAGGAGAATCTGCGTCCTCTGATAAGTAGATAGGCCAATGGATCTGATAAACAAGACCCAGATAAGAGGAAAGGAAGGCGAATCAGTACGTGGACCAGCTCCATACTTCATTATGCCGTAATGTGATTTGATTGCTCATATTTTAACATGCAGAACTAGGATCCGAAGAAGAACTCGCATTGGCAAAAATTTCTAAACTTTACGAACGCGAGGATATTTATATCGACGTCTGAAACTCTAATGTCGCAGTTTCAGACTTTTGACTCTTTTTTTGCCCTGCGCGAGTTAGCACCAACGTAATCTAGAAAACATGATTACATGGAACATACGTACCAGGTAGAGATCCAAGTAGGTCAAGCCCAAGTCCTTGAGCGTTTGCTGACAAGCATCTTTCACTTTCTCGGGGGAAGTGAATTTGATCCACAGCTTAGATGTCACGAAAATATCATCGCGTTTGATTCCAGCATCGAAGGCGGCTTTCAGCCCTGCTCCTACCTCCTTCTCATTTCCGTATACATGGGCACAATCAATGTGTCTGTATCCATTCTGCAAATATTGCAGTCAAATACATGGACATCAGAACAACTAAGAGAGTTAGGCTGGAAAGCTTCGAGCAATTACAGCCTCACAGCTTGAAGGCTGTTAGTGACACAGTCTCTGTATACCATATAAGCACGTATCCAGAAACATCAATCCCAACCGTCAAGGTTTATACCTCGACGATCGCTGAGTACACAGCATCGCGTACTACGTTCGGCTCCGCCTTCCATGTACCCAATCCCAAGGCAGGAATTTGATGTTTCGAGCGCAGCGTGAAGTATGCCTCTTCCACAGATTTGTCATCTCTGAGGTCCTGTGCGTGTGCCATGTCTGAGTTGATGAAGAGTAAGACGGTGCAGCAAATTCAGTGAATGACGACGGTGTTCGACAGCTTCGGAGGTTTTCACGAAAATGAAGCGAGTTACAACTCTGATCGGAAGGGAAGACGACTTGCAATTCGATACAGAACGGTGGAACGTCGTTGTAGTTTATTGAGGAAGAGATGGAAGGGATGGGTTGCACGGGGTCCAACAGTCGACGGCGACACCTGGCTCGACCCTTCAGTGCCAAACGCGGAAGGTTTTCATCGACGAGCCGGAGGTGCATGACAATGCACTTTGACACTTGGCGCTGACGTGGTGTCCTTTTCCACGTGTCGTCGCTTTTGTTACCACCTCACCTGCGCACTGCCCACTGAGCTTCGGTCTCTGATCTCTGCCTTCAAATGGCCTCCGTAATTGTCCTCGACCACTGCTCCCCATTCACCAGCTAATCAGCTACTCAATACTTCGCTGCTACAAATTCTTAACACCTTGTGCACTTTCCGTCCACGACCAGCCATGCTTGAATCTATCCACTGTCCAGTGCCTTCTACAAACTGTAAAATTCGCCCATTTGGAGAGTACTTAACAAGTTCAGTCAGCCTACATTCATGTCATGCATGCACGTTGCTCTGATTTCGAGAGCTCTGATTTCGATCAGGAGCTAGCGAGTAGAGAGTGTAGAAGCTCAAACTTACTCTCGTGGAAAAGGTAAGGCTATTTAAAATCACCAGATTTAAAATCATGACAATTCTTTCCTTCTTGTTTGTAGTTTTCCCTTTAACGATTCATTCTTTTTTAGTAGTATTGAATTCATTTCTCTCTGCTGCTTCGCACTGCACTCTGAACTAAGGTAATACACATATAAGACTTTCACGATAACAGGTCAAGAGAAAGAACTGAAAGGAAGCAGATTGCCGTCCTGGCTTCCCATGCTCAAATCCCACTACAAAACATTGCTCGTGTACACGACCAGTGCAATACTTATGTATTAGTCCGCAGTCTATACTAATAAAAATTTACTCCCCGAAAGCTAATCGTGTTGACAGAAAATACGGTGATGAAAAAACTGGGAGAGTATCCATTTTACAATGACACGACAAAACATGTGATGCAGACTGTCTGCATGGCTGCACACTCTCCACCTATCGGAACTTAATGCTTACATTTTCCAGGTGATCATAATCCAGTGCCAACTCTAAACGAGACCTCGTAAAGAAGGCGGAACCAACAGAGCTTCTGGATGAAATATCGAAGGTTCGAAAGCTTTAATGTTAGGCATCCTGAGCCAAAACCAGCTGTGGACCAAACGAGCGAATACATCTTGCAAGGTCCCCTGGCACACGTGTCTGCCAATGGTAGGAGAGCTACGAACCGTGCAGATAGAGCAATCGATGACTGTGGCGCTAGATTCATCATTCATCGCTGCACACTTCAAAACATGAAGGGAAGCTGTTCTGATATTTCTTGAGATTTGTGCTGCAGCAGCTTCCAATTGCATCAAAAGTAGCCACTCGTCGAAGTAAGAGAAAAATTCATTTCACAAATTATTTTACACGCCTTGTATCCATTTCCGACCGAAGAACTCTTCTGTTGCCTTCAACTAAAACAGGAGGAATGGTGGTAATCGGGGTCACAAATAACTCTACTTATTGAAAGCAATCTCCTTAAAGAAAGCCATCCACGTTGTAGACATGCCTTTACTGAGTACAAATTTAGCGTGAGCAAATTTGAAACTATGGTCATTATCCTTTACACCAGTCATTTTAATGTCCGATATACTCTTGATCAATATGATCCGTGTATTTACAACTGCAATGGATAAAATATGTGCGAGCTAGATGATTCGCCCATCTTTGAGCGAATTTTTTTACCAAATGGATGGAAAGACCCATCAAGCCGTATTGCGATGAAACCAAGGGCTTAGAATGAGTCAAGGAACCTCTCGCATCACAAGCTGACAAACTTCTTGTTGGAGATAATACATCGTAACAAATATCTCAAGACATTAACTATCTTATATCGACACAAGTACCAAAAGCAAAATATAACATAATCTTCTTTCTTATAGGCGATTAGCTTTCTCTAATACCACATAGTCATTAAACCTATACCATGATATGAACTCTCCGGAGCTAAGATTAAGAAGATGGGTGCTGTGATGTTTCCTTTTAGTCTCATATATGCAATATGTAAAATAATGAACTGCTGGAGCCATTGAAGAGCTATTCATTTCATATTTGAATGAGCTATCTATTCGTATTTAATTCATACTTGAATTGCTGAAGCTATGGAAGAGCTAAACTCTTTCATAGTTTCAGCAGAGATTATTACCTTAAGGAGAAATGTTGAAGATGAACACTAAATATATCTAGGATAATTATCAACACTTCTCATCGCAAATTTTTACATTAGTTTCTACACTCTGTTAGACAACTCACTCACATTTTGGAAATGCTTGTCTCTCGTTCCATTGCGTACTAAAGACTTTCAATAAAACAATACCAATAATCCAATTGCACTAACCAAGCACTTCATCGCCAATCCCAAGTGTAAGAGAATGAGGAAAAGCTTGTATCTTCCGAGGATAGAGATACATCTACCGGCAGGCCGCAACGGTTATTGAAGGAAGTTGATACTGTAAAATTGTCTGTTGGGATGCTGAGTTGATGTTGGGAAGAAATTGTAGATCGATTCTCCCTTGAGTTGGTCGACCATGAGTTAACGCGCCTGACTCTGGTTCACATGAGAATCTTTCTGGAACTACCTGAGATTCTCTCCCGCAAATTCCTTTCGTTCAAATTTGTATGAGCGTGGTGTTATGGCGGGAGTGGGGATAGTCACGACAGCGGGCTTTGAAATCACTCGACAGAGCAGAGAGCCGCATGCCTTGTTGACCATCCATCGATTGTTCGGGTGTCCACATTCCTCGAGATTGTTCGAGAGTTCAGTTCTGAAGAGCGGTGGGCAGATGAAATTCCACGCTGTGCAATGCTTCAGCTGCGGGGCGATGCAGGTGAAGCAAGCGAAGAAGGCCAGCAACAAGTGGAGTTGCAGCATCTGCAACGAGAAACAATCCTTGCGGAAAGTGTTCTTTGCCTCCGATGCTGCCAAGGATGTCCGCAGTTTTGTTCAGCAAGCCAATCTGACAAGGGGCCACATTTTAGAGGCTACGGCTGAATGCTTCAATTCGTCGGACGTGAAAGAAAACCTGGTCGAACGCTATGAGGCCGCGATCGAGCCTCAAAATGGAAATCGTCTTCCGAGGCGCAGCAATTGGGATGATTTTTTGCAACAGGAGGACCAGTACTCAGACCAGGAAAACATTGTTGACCCTGACGATGCCAAGTATGTCACCTCAGTCCCGGATGTAAGACCTCGTAAACCCCAACGTAGAGTTATATCTTCACATGATGGTCCTTCCGGGCGTAGAGCACTTTCTCCTCAAAAGTTTGCCGACAGCATCTCTAAGAAGTCTAGAGAGCTGAAAGAAAGTGGCTTGCAGTCGCGGTTTTCGATTTGTGAGCGAAGTGGAGTTGGAGTTGGAGATGCCGAAGTCAGTGTGCGTGAATGTGAAAATGCGAATTTCTACCGAACCCTTGGAACTCCTCATCCGGATTTGGCTCCATCGGCGAAAGGAGACTGTGATTTGTCTGAAACATCGTTGAAAAGAGGGTATGCATCCCTGGCTGATGAATCCAGACATGATACAACGAAGGCTTTCAAAACGGAGGAGAGTGTCATTAAGAGGAAAGAGTCTGTTTGTCAAACTTCGAAGTGGAGCAAGTACATAGAAGATTGACGAACGCTAGAAAAATCAATGGACGAATGGAAGGTTGATATGAAGGGCAACTTTCGATGCCGAAACAGTGTTACTCGGTGTTCATTGGCTTGTTCACAACCGAAAAACTGTCGCTCGTTGGACTCTCTGGCTTGTTCGCAACAAAAAATATGTCAATTCGTCTTCTCTGGGTTGGTGCCAAGGCACTTGTACTTATCTAAAACAAATGTGCTCTTGTTGCATCAGAGGAGGCAATACAGGTCCAGACACTCGTACAGGACAGACAGGCAGCAGGAGAGAGGATATATTTGTTTTAGATAGGTACGGAGCTATGATATATGTGGTAACATTCCCCGCCACAAACCTGTCTATAATTCTGGAGATTTAGATGTCAACTATTTCGCTGCATGATGTGTCTTTGTAGACACGAAGACGTCTATCCATCGATTTTCGCAAGATGCCCTAGATCAGTAAAACTTACTGCGAAAGAAATGGTATCACTTATTTGTAGCTAGTTGCACATCCAAAGACGCCAGAATTTCCAGTCCTGCTCATGAAGAAGTAGATACTTCAAACAATTGTACGATGATAATCATAGCACAAGTCTCCGGCACATGAACAGGCGACTTGTCCGGACGACAGAGAGTACTCACTCCGCATACAGTCATAGTTCTGAATGCACCAAAAACTAACAGCTCACCTGTTCAGAAGGGATTTGAATCACTCCACTCGAGAGTTATCCAGACAACAAAACCAGGTATATCATTCGTGAACCTTAGTTTCACAAGGAGTGATGGTGACATAACTATGGGAAGTTTTAACGACCTAGCAGAAGAAGCATGCAGGGCAAGCACAAGCGGAACTTGACTGTATGGTCATACCTTGAACAGTGTCAGTAACAATCGACAATAATGCACTATGATAGTCAAGATTGAAGCTTGAAGTACAGGTTTACAAAGTCATACTCCCTTTTAATTATGTAAAGAATGTAACAAAGTAGGTCCAACATCATTTAAGTAAAGATAAAACCGTATTCCAGATCTCTCATGTCTCTCATTATGGGTTCCAAGTCTCAAAACTGCAAGAACAATTCACTCTAGAGATGGATATACGTATAGGATCTTCTTTCAGTGGAAAAAATCCCCTGACTTTTCGTTTATGTTGTTGCCTCCCTGGATCCTCCCTGTTTCTTTCGAGATATTGTTCCTCAAATTGCAGATATTTAACTGATGCAGCTGTCTTATTCTTGTCATAACGTTCTTTATTCTAACAACTAGTTCAAGAAAAATTGATCATATCGAGGATATGTGAGATTTTTTTGAGAAAAACGGAATGGGAGTAATGGTTGATGTTTTTCTATTTTTTAAGAATTCATGGTTGATAAATAGATATGGATACCAAAGGTTAAGGATTTTGAGACAGTTCAGTATTTTGTGTAAAAGAGCGTGAGAGGCATCTGGGGTACACAATTTCATACATGAAATTTCAAGAAAAAGAATGTCGTTGACCCATTTGATGCTTAAAATATACTACTTTTTCACTGTAACCCGTTGTACAAGGCATGATATAAACTGCAATTCGTTTTCAATTGTTGGGACTATAATTGCAGAAGAAAAGACACCAGAAATAATTGGAAATTATTTTCCAAACTTGTGCATTATCAAGGTATAGAGTGTGGAATTCCGACATGATTATAAATAGATTCTTCAAGCTTTGAGGACAAGCGCTAGGTGGCATAGAGATTTTCAAACAGATTTTGTAATGCACCTAGATCTGAAGCAATATAAGTGCACACTGTCATTTTGTTTTTACGTGGGTAGATGCACCAGCAATTTACTATTGTGCCTGTTTGCGAAGGATGGCTACGTCAATCATGGATTGCACAAGTCAAAGTTTTCTGTTCAAATTGAAAGCATTGCGATACTGTTCCAGCACTGATGAGTTAATGAATCAGAGTTGATACTCTCTTAAAAATATTTCCAAGAATAATATGTGAACTTGTTCCCTCAAAGCTTTAATGAATCCTTGATTATGTATGAATGCAGTGTTCGACAGATGATTTGAAGGGATCTCGACTATGAGGTCCATCTTACAAAGCGAAATCTTTATATAACATGTGTCTATGGTAGAGTTGAAGGTAATTATGGAGCAATGAAGAGAACCTTGGAGAATGATATATGCCATATAAATTAAAAATGCTAGAAACGTGTACCGAGGTGATTGTGTCGTTAGAAACCTACATCTAACGAGCACTGATGATAGCGTTATTGGGTAAAGTATTTGAGCTTGCAATGATTAACTAATGAGGAAAAAAAATAATCCTTCTGGGACTTCTTTAACTCAATACCATCACTAAGAACGTAGTGTCTTAGAACTGGACGAAAAGATAGAGGAATTTGTTCCCCAACCAAATATCTGCCTGGTACTTTTTCCATACTGAAAGGCTGAAATGAAAGAAGAAAAGGCTTCTCAAAGATAGAAATATGTGTGAAGACACAGTCAAACCGTACAAAGATGAAATGAAGTGAGCAGCCGCGGGCTACCCCGATAGTTTTATGGGAAACATGACAAATAAGACACAACGTAAATAAATTATAAGTGTCAAGATGTCTACAAATGACAAGAACATGATATCAAGATATATTTTTCATTTGAAACAGGTTAAAGGAAATAAAACCACTTCCGCTTAGAAAAAGAAAAAGAAAAGTATTAAACATTCGAGATTAGCCCAAGCATACACGTGGAACATGGAATGGAATCCTCCCCTCGACCTCAAGAGTACTCGATGTGTGATGACTCTTCTCATTCCCATCAATGACCCAAGTTTAGGGTTCTCGGTAAACGAATGTAGGAAACTACGGGGCTCGAATCTCACGACCGCAGGTTGGAAACCTGGTTCACTGCCAGAACGCTTGTATGGGAAGAGAGTCGAGCGCAGTGCAAGATGTGCGATCCATGGCAGCTTGGCGTAGTAACCGTGGAGGCGCGGGGGAGGGCAGGCCACATCTGCAGCGGAGCGGAGGACGACACTTGGGAGAAGGATAGCTCTGCAGCCTTTGGGTGGCTCCAAACCCCAACTTCGTCGACGGATATCGCTGCCGCAAGCGCTGCCCTCCTCCTCGTCCTCGGCATCGTCCTCGTCAGTGTCGTCGGCCGCGGAGGTGGGGCCCACGGAGTTCGTCGGACCAACCGGAGTTCCCGATCATGTCGATGCCAAAGGTCATGCCACTCGTCGTCGACTATGGTAGTCGAGCGCTCCGACGCCTTGTGCTGCAGCAGCATCCCGTGATCTCTCGTACCGGTCGCCTTGTCGGATTTAATCTTCTCGACGCGCGCTCTTCTCCTGCGCTCGCTGCATCTCCTCCCTCAGCTTGTCACCCTCGTCCCTCGTTGCGCCAGTTCGAGTCGTTGGCAGATATGGCGTCTGCAACGAAATCCCTCGTCGCCGGTGCGCCCGTCGCTCTGAACCTGTGCAGGAGCGCTTTGGAATGCTCCGCGAAGCAGCAGCCGATGCTTCTTGGTGCCGGTCGTGTCGGCAAGAGGGCAATTGAGTTGTCCGCAGTCAGAAGTCTGAGCTCCGGGGCTTTCATGTCTTCCAGAGCGCTGAATTTTCAGAAGAGGTCGTTCTCCTTGTCCACTTCCATCAAGGCCACCATCCAGGTCGGAGAAAAGCTGCCCGAGGCCGAGCTCTCGTACCTCGACCAGGAGAACAATGTACAGACTGTGAAGATTTCGGAGCTCACCAAGGGCAAGAAAATTGTTTTGTTCGCCGTGCCCGGAGCTTTCACACCCACCTGCTCCCAGAAGCACGTGCCCGGGTTCGTCGACAAGTCTGATGAGCTCAAGTCCAAGGGCGTGGATACCATCGCCTGTGTCAGCGTGAACGATGTTTTCGTCATGAAGGCATGGGGAGAGGGTCTTGGCGTCGGAGACAAGGTGTTGCTGCTCTCTGACGGGAACGGTCATTTCACCAAGGCCTTGGGTGTCGAGTTAGACTTGAGCGACAAGCCCGTGGGTCTCGGAGTGAGATCGAGACGCTATGCCCTTTTGGCCGATGATGGCGTGGTGAAGCAGTTGAATCTTGAGGAGGGCGGAGCTTTTTCCATCAGTGGCCCTGATGAAATTCTTAAGGCTTTGTAAGATAAGAAACTATCCTGCGCCTTCCTGTTACATACCTGCAAATGTTGTCTGAGAAACTGTGTGCAAAATTTTGATGTCTTCGCACTGGTTCCATGTCTGCCGTCCATGAACAAGGAGCTGGAGTTAATCAGTTGCCCGTGTCAGATCTCTCTTCTTGGGTTTGCCTACAGTGGCAATTTGATCGGCTCTCGTAGGACGTGAATGTACTATGAAATTGCTGATAGAGTTTAGTCATGTCATTGAGATACGTCGACAGTCGAGGAAGGACCTGAAATGTTCAATTTCGAAACACGGAATGCAATAAAAAAGTTCTATGTACGTTGGTTGCCATCACCATTAAGGATGAATCTTTGCTGATTTGGTTGGCCATGGTTCTCGAAATGTTGGAATGCGTCATCCGTTCTGAAGGAAGTATCGGTGAGAGTGGTCGTATTATCTTGGATCAAAGTTGTTTCGAGTGACTTCATACGTGACACCTATGTTTCTTCTATGTGACAACGTTTCTGGCATGGATGGAATTCAACTCTTGGAGGATAGACAGGAAATCTGAATCTTTCAAGAACCAAATTTCTCTTAAGGAACTGTCACAAGAAGCAGTCTTGACTCGAACTAGGCAGTTCACTATGGTTAGCTCTGACAACAATGTATTACGTTACAGACATTGTACTATTTCTTTGGCTTTTTGATATTTGCGAAATGCACCAAGGTCTTGAACCGTACCAGATTTTCCAGATTTCGCTCACTGATTTCAGTTGTTTTTGTCCCCCCCCAATGTTGTGAGTTTAAGTTACCACAAGCCGTCACAGGACGAGTTGATGGGACGGTGTTCAACTCTATGATCCATGCTTGTTTGTCTTCGTGAATCCATGTCACATCATAAATTAGAATTCATTTCACGCGATGTGCTGTTCGTGTTTAATATCGTACGTAAGAAGATCTCAGTTTTATGTGTAATACTCGTCCCCCGCTTTATGCTCAAAGCTTTAAAGAAATCTGTTGGTTCAATTTGTTATCTATTTAAGCATTCTTGTGCTGAGTATGGCAGTCAATATCAGTGGAAGCTAGCAACAAAGTGTAGTCTTCTCTTCACTCATTTTTTGAAGATGCAAGATGTTCAGGGACGTGTATTGGTCAGGTCTCATTGTGAGCTCCATCTTTCTTAGTTGCTCTAGTGGCCGTTGAGCTGTCTTGAGAATTTGTATAGGCAATGCTTTGAACCTTACCTATACAAGCACCTGACAGTTTTGGAGATCGAGAATCCGATTGATATGTCACTTGACGACAATTAAGCACATTCATTACTTGTCTGGTACAAATACATACATGTAGTACACTTCCCTTTTGACCATTTATCTGTTGACTTACACATAATAGTCACAAAGTCCACAGATGAAATAAGCGTAGTACAGGTAGTCATGCATAGACAGTTTCCTTCTGTTTCTTCTTCCATGTTGACCTGGGAAAGTCCAATGCAATGAAGCGCAAGTGTTGCAGGATTTCCTTACATATTTCCATGTTTACACTTGAGTGCCAAATTAGAAAATATGTTTAAATCAATATACTGTGCGAGGATTGATAATCAGGATCTACTAACAGACAGATGTAAGCTGTCTTGAAGTGTTGTGAACTGATGGATCAAGAGTGCAGCGGAGCATTAATGAAGTCTTCATCTGAATATGCTCCTCACAACCATGATGCTAGAAAGCCTTGGTGACTAAAACTTATGAGTCCAGTCTCCACCATGAAAAGTTTCGGACTTTCTTGCAGTACCACCTTGTGGTCTATTCTCACTGGTCGAAGTGAACTTTTGGTGGAATACGCGTCCAAGGTCAGTTTCTCACTGTGTGATGTATTGATTTTAGAGCCAAAGCTTGCTAAGCTCTAGTTGTGGATGGTACTAAGCATGGGGTCTACCGTCCGATAAACTTTATGAACGCCTCTTCATCTTTCTTTATTGAATAATCGAGGTCATAATTAGATTATCTTACTCGTTTTTTTCACAAATCAGCTCAAATATGCAAGAAATCTTAGAGTTAGATCTCTCTCACTGCAGTCACGGACAATGCATCAAAGGCTGCGCCGAACAGCTGGTATTTGTTTTAATGATTTCTAAACACATATGCTCATTCCACTGGAATCTATTACTCTCAAGTGTTAGAGATTCTTGCGGGGAAAAATAACTTCTGTTTTTTTCTGAATCAAGGATGTCTTGATGATATATGGAATGTTCATGTCAATTTGTTCAATGTTTGTTTTTTTTATTTTGTCGTTGGCAGGTCCAGTGGACAAGTGGGTATTGAGAAGGAGATTTTAAAGTCTGGTAAAGGTCCCAAACCAGTACCGGGCCAATACGTTACGGTACACTGCACTGGCTACGGTAAAAATGGCGATTTGTCGAAGAAGTTTTGGAGCACAAAGGATTGGGGACAAAAGCCATTTTCATTTGTGATTGGACAGCAACAAGTGATCGCAGGTTGGGATGAAGGTGTCCTTGGAATGGCGCTCGGAGAAGTTGCCAGGTTGAAGTGCTCACCCGATTATGCATATGGGGCCGCAGGTTTTCCTGAATGGGGTATACAGCCGAACTCAACCCTTCTGTTTGAGATTGAAGTCCTAAAAATTGTTTGATTTAGATACGCACATCGAAGTTGCCAGGTTGATGTGGGGTGATCACCTGAAGACGCGTCCGGCTTTCCAAGTTTGACTCTCTTCATTTGAGACGGGAGAATTCAAGATCTGATGCATTCGAAATGTCATTTGACACTTATGTTGGTCGATCTTGAGAGTCTTAGACACTGGTAGCTTGTAAGAAACTATATTCAGTAATGACTGAATGACTGAATTTTCAGTCACAGCATAGAGAATTTCGGTCACGAGTGTAGAGTTTTGGAGTCTGTAGAGAACTTCACGGGGACAAAGCGGAGTGCACGCCATAATTAATTCTATTCTTTTTAGAAAAGGAGGCCGCTGGTAGCGACTCACCGTAATAAGAGATAAAAAATTGAGTTTGAGCAAGTGGAAAAAGTCCTATTATTTCTGGATACCGCTGGTGTTTAACACCATCCATCCACCTTTGGAGCTGGCGGGTGGATGGTGTGAATGGTGCACAAGTGAAATTTCTAATGCACAACTGAAAGTTTCTGAGCGATGAATAACACTAAGATTTGGCGATCTTGCTTCTATACCAGACACAGCTGCACTTGACCAAGTGGAATCCTTACTTTGTCGTGCACTGCTGTTTATGTGTTGAGAAGGTTGTTTAGGTCATGGTCATCTATCAGTGCGTAACTGCGTCTCACTTCTCTCTATGGCCAGAATTATCTTTTATGCCATTTTTCCTTTTTATCTGCCCTTCAATTTGGTGGTTCAATTCTTCAATTTGGAATTCTTTTGTCTGCTGGAAGATGGCAATGTGTGACATGAATATTTGGCTTCAATTGAACTATTTCACTACATAATGATAACATCGTCGCATTCAGTGTTTAAGTAAATCACTTTTTACATGTTATTGAAGCCTATCAACAATTACGAGATATCGTGATCATTTGATGAATCACTATATTTGCCAAGATGTGGGGCTTGCACGACCGAGTACATATATCACAGTACTGCGGTCGACTTGGATGCTTTGGCTTCACGAGGAGGCCATATCTACTAGCACAAGGGAAGTGATCTTTGAGTGTCAGCTCTGTTAAACTCAGTTTCTAGGTTTGTCGGTGTTACTTTATCTTTTTTGAGTAGTAAATTTGCCATAGTTCCTGTTGAACATTTTTAGATTTGTTTGGTGAGCAATTATTGATTGTTGTGCCAATTTTCCTCTGTCTGAGATTATTCTAGTTTCCATGCAAATAAGTTTACATGAGTTATGAATTGCAGCATGATACATCGAGAAGGTCCATAAATGAACGTAGTTGGAACATAGCTCAGTTACTTGCATGGTTAAAGGTTCACGCTAAGGATTAGAGTATATTCTGAAGGCACAATACTAGGATTGGAGGCACAACAAAACTTTCCGGGGCATGCTCATGCCCCTTTCAACATCATAAGGCATGCCCGTATTACAATATGTACATTTGACCGTATCAAAAAATATACTTCTATGGAAATTAAGCGCTAAGTAGATCAATTAACACAAAAATAAAAGCTTAAAACCCAAAACAGATCAGAGCAGGAATATCCAAGTGAAAACAGTTTTATTTCCTCACTTCATCCCCCACTCTAAAATATACGTCTATAACTCTAGAGAATATATAATTTTTTTATACATACAGGTATGTTTCGTATTGAAAATATACGTCTATAACTAATAAAAAATATATATATATATAATTTTTTTATACATACAGGCATGGAAAATGCGAATTACGCATGCCCTCTCGCCCCGGTCATGACTTTTTGAGATTGTGCCTCCAACTCTACACAGTACACTATCTATACAGTGCACATAAGCTGATGAGACAATGAATGCGCCAAAACGTAATAGCAGTTATGGGAAACATTCACGCCGAATCATCATGTTCATTCAGTGTGTATCAGGTAGTAAATCAGCAAAAGTTTATAATTGAAAAGAAATACATGTAAATGCACTGATTAGTTACTGTATGAAAAGTGGGAGAAATATGTAGATTCACGATCTACATGTTAACAATATAATTAAAAGATAAAATTAGTAAAAAAATAATTTTTTTCACCAACGTATAAGGTGCTACGATAATGAATTAAACTTCAAAGGAGGAAAAAAATGTGGGGAAAATTGAACGGGGAAGAAGAAACATAACAATGCCTTCTGCCCTCCACGATATTTCTCGAGAGCAAATAAAAAGTTTCAGTCTCCTCACATACATGCACAAAACTTTCAGCTATGAATTTAGTATACTGTTGAAAATTTGTTAAACACAAAAAATAGTGATTTGAAACAAAAGTTAGTTTCTACCCATTCATCTAGGTGAAACTTTGAGGTATTTTTTCTTAGATATCAATAAATAAAAAATGAAATTGTATTTTTTTTAATATAATGTAATGGCCTATTTACATGTCTAGCATAAAATCGATATGAAATATGTTATATTTCAAGTGTTGATAAATTTCATAGTTATCATTATTAGATGGTAATCTATGTATCACCATTATTCATAAGTGTAAACGCTCAAAGTGTAAACCTAATACAACTTGGAGGAATAGTGCAATACCGTGCTTTATGCTCACAATGTTGTGAAAAGATAAATGTATTTTGGATTAAAGATTGCATTGGAATTTATTCAAGATCAAATTTTGAAATTGAGAATATGATACATTGTCTATAGAATAATTATTTTGATGTACAGATTACATTTGATCAAACTATACTCATTTTTTGTATATAACATTAGTGAAGTACTGAAATATATTTCTAGGATAAAATTATAATTTTGAAATCATCATTTCTTTCAAATTTAAACTATTTTTTCTTTTGATACTTTATATTCCTTGCGCAAAGTTTTGATAAGTGAAGATTGTGATGAATATATAATATTTATGTCAATGTTATAATCTTCCTCTATGAAATTGAAATTGGATGCAAAAATTGTGAAAATGTACTGAAAATATGTTGAATAAATTAAATTTTTGATAAAATTTGGATTGATAAGTAGTAACAAAGTGGCTTAATTTTATCAAATATCTAACTTCTAATTGAAAATCTTGGAATTTTTAAAATGTAGATTTCATACAAAATCATGTGAATTTTTATGAAATGTAGATTGATAAAAATTTAAAGTTTGTTATGTGAATATGATAAACAAAGCATTCAATGTGTTGAAGTAGGAATTTATTTTGAAATAATTTGTCGTGTTTAACATCTTCCAATGTGATTTTCATTGACTAATGAGGATAAATTAAATTGGTTAAGCAACAACCTCTTACATGATTTAAAAGTGCAGATCACACTTATGATGATACATTATAGTTACTTCATGAAGATCATTGATATGAAGCACTTAAAAGTTCTTTTGATCATGTTTATAAACATTATAGTTGATTGATGTTATGCAACCTATGCACACCGATGTGCACTCGAGAATAAATGTGACTTGTGTTGGTATATGATCAATTATTTTATCTAATGGTTGATGTGATAAAAATGTATGTTGTGAAGCAAGGTGTACAAGATTCAAGAGGATGTACGCATTACCTAATGGTTGCTAGGATGATTCGTTGTTGTATTTAACACATTGATGAAAATGTACACATTATATAATTGTTGATACGATGATTTATTGTTGTATTCAACACATAAAAAAACTTTAAAAATCTGAATAAAATCTGAATGTACTATCTCAAGTAATATAATTAAATTACATAGTGTAATATTTTGAATTTGTGAAATGTAGTAATTATCAGTTCAATATGTGGATTACTGAATACAGTCAAACTTTTAAAGAAGCTGAATCTGTATGTTGTAAAATATATTATTACTAAAGGAAGGTACAATGAATATCAATTGCCCAAAGTAAAAATTTAAACTCTAGCTGTCCTTTTTCCTGAATCACATGTTCTGGCTGTCAAGAATGATGAAGAATTGCAAGTACAGTTCCTCCTTCGACATTCTAATCTTATATAAATTGATAGGAGTGGACTCAAAAGAGCGTGCATGACAATTGAGCATCAACATTCATTGTATCTAGACAAAAGAATCCGGTCACGCATCTGCCCTTATTCAGTGTATCTAGTCAGAATGCAGGATGCTGGCCACAAACAATGTAACAAAACTTGTCCCGGTGCAATGAATGTGGGTGAATAAGGACCAGGTGCTTCCGGTGGCAATGGTGATCATCCAACTGACCTTGCATGGACATTGCACAAGTTATTCCTCGAAAAGCCACTTCTCTGAGCGCTGTGTTATCTTACGTTACGTTACCAGTAAGACCTGCAAGAGCAGCGAGTAAATGAGCGAAAGAGGTTGGAAGAGCTCATCAAAACTCACAGTGCTGAAACCATGGGGCAAGGTTGGGGCTGGCCCCAATTGCAAGACAGAAGTCTGCGTCAGATTATGAAGCTACCCTCCAAAGAATTTTCCAAAATTTATGGGGTTCTAATCTGAATATTGAGGAAGTCATAAACCCAATAATGCCTTTCCAGTATAAGCAACATCTATTTACGAAGGATACTTCCAAAATCTTTGAGCACATTATTTGTAGTTTCAATTTTTTTTCCGTTCTCGAGAAGTTTGAAGTGGTAGGTTCTTTCAAAAGCTTCAGAACTTTTTGATCTTGGGAATCGCGAATGTATTTCACAATGCTCTTGTGTCATCAACGCATAGACCATGAAAGCCAGGAATCTCTCCAGCATAGAAACCAGGTAAAGAAAATCATAAAGTGTTTTGAGGTACTGCCAAGCCTTAGCAGAAGTGATTTAAAGTAGTGCTAAATACTTGATCAAAGAGGAAAATCATTCTTGACTGCAGATTCAGTGTTCAGGTTAGGTTGGTTCCACAACCTCTACAGGTACTTCGATCAAACCCTCAATCAACCAGACATGCTTTTGAGCACATACAATCACAATGTTGATAAGCAGTATGTAGATCCCCACCCCTGATACCCAATCAGGATCGACGTTTGTTTGAATGCTTCATAAGACTTCACATCCTCCTCGCATCAGAGCAACTGGCGTTCCGCATTTTCACTCGTTGATGAGAAACGACATTCCATCTGCAAGCTCTACCTTTACCATGTATATATATATATATATATATATTTGTTTATATAAGAATGGTATGTTGGAAGTTATCCAGCGCACATTCACCTTCTAGCCGTGCTTGCATCCGGAAGGAGGAAACCGCTGAAATCAGCTATATAACTCCTCAAAATGAGCTGGAGCACTCCTCACTGTATGGACTTCACCTAATTCTATGATAGAGACAGACTTAGCTGGTTCGACACTGGTCAAGTTTGAATATTGGGTTTCTCTCTCTCTCCATGACAATTGTCCTTTCTACTATTTACAGATGATGGAGATTTGTCGTGTTTTTCAACGGTCACCGATTGCAGAAAGAATGATCACCGAAAAGTGCAGGCAGGCTGTAACTTCGTCCTACCGATGGCCGAAACTTTTACCTTCCTCGAGGCCGATCCCGACACGTACTCCGTCTTACCTCTCGTTACTCGTACGTGGGTCCGACTCCTGTATGGCGAAAGGCATGTGGGAGGATTTGCTGTTCAAGTGAACTTCAGATAAGAATGATTGGAGCTGACCGGCACCTTCAGGATGCCACCGTCGTTGGCCAACCGGATGGTCCCTGTTTGGGGTTCGAGGAGTAAAATCTTCAGATCCGAGTCCGAAGAAGTTCAAGTCAACAACATCGAATTCGAATGATCTGGGAATTGGTGTCTCCAGGCTACAACATGCTCGAAACGATGCAAACAAAAGTTATATATTCTCTTGACGCGTAACTTTATATTAAGCACTGGAAGTGTGTTATCAAATTGGTGACGAGCCCGTGAGCCAAGGTGCACGAAATATGCGATAACACAAGTCGAGCCCTGTTGTGCAGAGAGGACGCAACCTTCAACCTCTTGGCAATTGTAACGCACCTGAGGATATCCTCCCCTCCTGAATATCGCAGTTGACGCACCGCAGTTCTGCTTAAGAGCAGCTGAGTACGATTTTAAGTATCCACTGCAAGTTCCGGTGGCATAATTGCTAGCATGAAGCCTTGACCATGATGCCCGTCGTTGACTCTGCCTGCTTTCTGGTAGCCTTTGGAGAAGTAAGGCTGAAACTTGATCTCTGTAACATACGCATGTCGGTTACAGAAACTGGATCCACATTACACATTGACATCCACTAGACATTGACTTTGACACCTTAAATTAGTACTGGTGAGACTATCCGCTTCAGGTACACCACTTTATACTGTTTGTTCTCTAATTTTATTTAAACAGTCAGCTCAGCACTTGTCCGCAAACTGTCGATAATCCATGCACATAAGGTTCATCAACCTACAACTGCAAATCTCGGATCTGGGAACTTTTCCTGAAGTTGAAACTAACTGCGGTTGGAGGGTAATCGTAGCGAGAATTTCCAGCACGTAGGAAGAATAATTTCGTGTGGCTTCTTGATGTTTTTATCCGTAACACCGAATTCAACAAGCTTTCATGGAGAACAGAACAGGGGTAGCATGGGGCAGTTGTGGAGGGTTACGCCGTTTGAGAATGTTTGAAGGTCTTACTGTTTGAGAATCTTGTCAGTGGGCAAGAAAACGAGTACAAGTGGGGATTCAAGATAGATTCACCAGAAACAGTCAAACTTTACTGTAGGTAGTAGATTCCATGTCAATCAGATCTCACCACGCGTCTGCAGTCGGGGGAGAGGGCGAGAGAACGATGCTGAATTGTCAAACTATGGCGACATGCTGGGGTTCATCGACAGACTCCACACCACGTCCTGATTCCTCCTCAAGCTTTATCCAAAATCTTTCACATGCTCTTCCCTTCCGGCGGATTTGTAGAATCTGTCCATCGAGATCCCCTATCTCGAGATAATATGGTCTTTCCCCACACCTCTTTATTTCATATGAGCCTATCCACAACCCACCCACGTCCTCTTCTCCACCATAATGGACTCAGTCAGTGTAATCTTATGTATGTAACTCAGACAAGCTGCAAACGGAGAGTCGAAAATCTACCATGGAGGATGAAAGTGTGCAAGCATTTTACTCTTCTCCTAATGGAAGAACGTCGATTAATATTATGTTTTTTAGCCTTTTGACTCTTCGGGTCCCACGGGCTTGATCTATTATCATTACCATTACCATTACCATAATCTCAACGTGAAGAATAAGGCACGGGAAATCGAGGGAAGTGCAAGCAGTTGGGTCTGTGCAAACGTATCAGCACGAGCCCGAAGGTTCTGAGAAATGTAATTTACATTCGTACGCAAGCGTCAGAGAGAGAAAGATCGAAAACGAAAATGAGCAAAAGTGAATGAACCGGGACCCGATTGCACGTCGCCGCTATGGGTCGTTGTGGTGGGCATCATGTCGCCCGCCAACTGTTACCATCTGTAGTCGTCGTCGTCGTCGTCGTCGTCGGCCGCCGCCGCTGCGGCTCCTCATCAGAACGATCTCTCTGCGCTGGACTCTGGACTGCGCAACGACCGCTGGCCGACTGCGACAGACGGAGGAAATCGGACGGATTGAGAGGGCGATGGCGATGAGTCACTCGGAGCCAATCCAGTTCGGAGTGGTAAAAAACCGAATGCCGACAACCGACAGATCTGCGAATGTGTGCATGCCTCATTTGTGAAAGTGGAGGACCAAATCCGGGGCCAGCATTTTCTCACACTCGAAGGATCTCGTCTCTCAGTCCGGGGACGTGCTGCGTGAGCGGTCCCACACGTTATCCACTCATTCGACGCATTGTTCTGCGGTGTCCTCCAGTCATGCAAGGCCATTCTGGCTTTGCAGGGTAGGACTCGTCGAGGGAATGAGCTCCTCCTTCCTGTGGACAGAAATGCGTCCATCCAAATTACGGACTCATTCTCCAAATTCACGCTTTTGTCCCATGGGATCTCAAATCATAAACTCACGGTCAAGAAGTGTATTGATATCATTTCGAGAAAAGGGGAAGGAGAGGAAAAAGTGCGAGATCGAGGATGACAAGGAGAAGCTCCCTTTAAGGAGTGGAAGACATAGACACCGAGAACCTTGAAACACGGGGACCATCACCGCTGATTTGAAAATTCTCGTGTGACCCTCATTAAGTCGAGTACACTTGCAGTTGGGCCTGCATTCCCTGACGGATCTAGTTTGCAAGGGATCTCAGTGAACATAAATATTGCGACCTTTTGTTCGTGCTAGTGATGGTAATAGATGAAGCCCGTGGGACCCGAAGGATCAAAAGGCTAAAAATCACAAAACAAATCACCCACTCGCCGCAAAGGAGAGAACCCCTGGCTAGTGCATAGAGCACTAGAAAGAAGATTAATAATATCTTTAAAATAACATATTAAACATTAAGGCTCAAGTTCTTTCTACCGAATTTTTATAGAACCAACGTTATGAGCAATTCTAATATCAGTATATCTAGTACAAGTACACATGCGGTTCGTCCTCAATATTACTAGCTTCACATAAACTGTAAACTCTTTCGCTTTTGTCCATACGTACTTACTCAATCTTTAGACTATGAGACCCTCAATCTGTAGATTATGAGACCCTGTTTTATGCCTCAATGATCCTACCTTCACATAAACTGTAAAATCGTTCGCTTTTGTCAATATTGTGCCAACGTACTTCCTCAATCTGTAGACTATGAGACCCTCAATTTCTAGACTATGAGACCCTGTTCTATGCCGTGCTATGATATGACAGAAAAAGGTAGAAATCCCCGCAAGAAAATATACTTGTTGACAATAAACAAGGGTTAGCTTGAAGATGGTAAAACTCCAAAGAATGTTGAGAATTGTCTCTTGTAAATGATAAGACTCGATGTGCATCTTACGCGACGGCTGGGGAGGAAAACTTTTGGCTGTCCGGTCGTTCTGAAGGAGAATGGTCTCACCTTCCCGGAAGTGGGGAGGGGGATTCAAGGGGAGATGGAATCCCGATCTTGGCTGAGCGGAATTACCAACTGCGGGACGGCCATGTCAACGCTGCGACGGTGGGGCCGGAGAACTGGCAGACCTGGCGATGGAGGATCTGGATCTTGACCCCTGGGGGTGCAGGCCACGTGGAAATCACTGCATATTCATTCTGACGCTGAATCTCGTCCTGCCTCTTTCGAACTGGCGACCTTCGGACCCATCTCGTGGGTATATAAGGACCCTCGCGCCAGGTCCCATCTTTCCTCGACCTCGTAGACGCAGACTGGCAGGCCGATCGATTCTCGAGCATAAGTAGGCAGAACGAATAAATTTGAAGTAGTTTGCACTTGGATTCCGGTTGACTGACTCTCATGGCGACGAACGCGTTTGACTGCGAGAGCAAACTCTTCTTCGAGTATATGAATATGTGACGAGCCGGGGGAGGAGTACGTTCGACAGAATTCATAGACGGCGGAGCAGACATGTGATGGGAGCGAAGCCTTTTCCTGGAAGGGCAGGAGATTGCAGCATCGGTTGGATTTCTCATCGTCGTTAGAATCTGGAACTGGCTGACGAATTCGCTTCATCTGTTCTCTAGACGTGGCAGTCAATTTCTTCCATGCGAGAGTTGCGCAGTTCATACATAGTCGTGCCGAAATTTTGCAGATCTGATTCTCTCGCCCTCGATGAACCAGTCGTCACCGAAAGCCGACACTTCGAGAGCTTTCGCCTTTTCTTCCTTCAATTGCACACCGTGCAATCCTCGACATCGATGGTTTCCTCTCTGGCTCTAAACCTCTAGAACTCGAAGAATTCACAGCGCCCACAGAAAGCGAGAGCTCAATCGAGTTACGTATATTGGATCATCGACCCGAGAATCCATTCCAGCGGGGATCCGTGCGGTTGAATCCTGCATAGCAGCAGCAGCAGCAGCTGGCGAGAAGCAGAGGCGATGAAGAAGAATCCCAAGAGCGGGTCCCGGCGGTTCAACAATCCGTTTCCCAAGGCGCCAGCGGGACTGGGCTTCGTGAGGGGCGACCTGCTCGTCGACGCAGCGTCGGCGCCGTCGCAGTCGCACACAGCGGGCCAAGGCTTCGAGGTGCGATGGCAGGCCGAGCCCGGGCGCGCCGGCCTGCAGGTGTTCCACGCGACGGAGCCCGAGCGCGCGCTGTGGAGCACGATTCCGGGCAGCGCCTTCGTCTCGGCCGCCTTCGGAACCGACTCGTTCGAAGAAAGTCGCGGCTCGTTCGCCATTCACGACACGATCGACGTGCTCTGCTGCCACCAGACCGTGGAGCAGGTCACGATCGCCTGGCCCTCCGAGACCTTCGTCGCGCCCAAGCGGCCGCCGTCGCAGGTCGACGCAGACGGCGTGCGCCCGGGCAGCCGCGGCCCCTGTGTCATCGTCGCGGGCTGCCTCTACTCCGACCCCAAGCTAGCGCGAGAGCAATTCGCCGCGTTCCGCACGCTTTCGTCGTCGTCGTCAGGCCCAACCGCTGCGTCGTCGCCCTCGTCGCCCTTCTATCATCCGTCGCAGTCGCACTTGAGGCTCGAGTCGCGGGGATGCTTGCGGTTATTCTCGCAGGAGCAGCGAGTCGCAGTTCGCTATTGGTTGGTGTTCTTCGAATGCCGCGACCATCAATTGGGATTCTCCGTGAGCTTGCAGCAGCCGGCGCGATTCGAGACCTTCTGTCAGGCCGGCGCTTACGTCGTCGCGCGCGCCTCGAGCGCCGTCGTTCCCGAGGCGGCGCATGATCCCAAGAGCCGGACGACGACGACGACGCTGAACAGGAGTCTCAGCGGCGACGACTTCGAGAGCGAAGCACGAGAGCATGGCGATGGCAGTGGGGAGCATTGGCTGTGGTCCGAGGCTCCCGTGTCCGCCTTCGGGAGGAGAGCAGTTGGCAATGATGGGGCCGAGCCTCGTCGCCTTCATTCCTTCGGCCGCAAGCGGTCGTTCAGACGGAGCATTTCGGTGGCGGATTTTAGGACCTGTAGTCTTTTTGACAAGTGTTTGACTGGAAGCTCCAGTTTTCTTGCCGAGCTTGCCAATGCTGGCAGAGTTTTGACCCCCCGGGAGCAGCAGCTCGTGCAGCTGCCCCGACTGAACCGGATTCAGATCACGTTTTCTTCCGATCCGAGCGAGAGGTTTTTCGGCTTCGGAGAGCAGTTCTCTCACTTCAATCTGAAGGGCAAGAGGGTCCCCATCCTCGTGCAGGAGCAGGGTCTGGGCCGCGGCGACCAGCCCATCACTGCTCTCGCCAACATGGTCTCCAACAGGTGCGTCATTTTGCCTCTCCAGTCCTCTCCGTTTAATTCCTCGATTCTGAAACTTGAAATCGAACAATCTTGTCGAATTTTGTTGTACAATCGATCGATGAGGTTGGTGGCCGATTGCATCCTTTGAACGGCCCGAATTAAGAACTTGGCAGCTTTGTGGCGATCGATCGATCGGTTGGTGCAGGTCAGGAGGAGCTTGGCACACAACTTACGCTCCAGTGCCTTACTATATAACATCACAAATGCGGTCACTTTATCTGGAGGGATTTGAATATTCGGTCTTTGATTTGACGCGCAGTAACGCAGTTCAAGTGCAGGTAGAATTCCAGCTTCTGGACTCTCTCCCATTTCGCAAGGCTCGATGAGTACAGTCGATTGTCAATGCAGTGAGAGAGATTCGAGCTGGAGAGATTGTCTCACTGGGCTTAAGATGCGTGAGATTTTTCATGCGGGTCGATGACACTCATTTATGAATTTGCTGCGTGCGGTGGGTGCGGTGGGTGGTCAGGTGCACGCAGGATACATGCAAGGGAGAATACTGCATGGGAAGACGCCCGCGGATATCATCAGGCAATATACAGCAGCAATTGGGAGAATGAGGGAGCTGCCTGCCTGGATTACGCAGGGGGCGATCGTGGGAATGCAGGGAGGAATGCAAGCGGTGCGTAAGGTGTGGCAGAAGCTCAGAGACCTCGACGTCCCGCTCGCTGCATTCTGGCTTCAGGTTTGTCGTTCATTATTGCCATTCATTATTGTCCCTTCAGCTCAGGCTCCTCAAGCTTCTCTCTCTCTCTCTCTCTCTCTCTCTCTCTCTCTCTCTCTCTCTCTCTCTCTCTCTCTCTCTCTCTCTCTCTCTCTCTCTCTCTCTCTCATATCTCGATGCCAATTCTCATCTGAGTTATGAGTCGCTGCTGTTGCTGTTGTGGCCTCAGGATTGGGTGGGACAAAGACGAACGAGCATCGGATGGCAGCTGTGGTGGAATTGGGAAGTGGACAGAGACCACTATCCAGGCTGGGAACAACTGGTGACAGATTTGCGCTCTCACGGCATCCGAACCATGGCTTACTGCAACCCCCTGCTCGCTCCGGTGGGTCTTTCTGCTCGTATGCAGCATGAGCAAGGCCAATGGAATTTAAATTGATGACTCTCCTCTGCCTCTGTGTCCTGTCGTCTCTCTCACCTTGCCAGTGGTCGCATCGCTGCAGACACACGAGAAGCCGAATCGGAGGAGAGATCTTCTGGCGGAAGCGCACTCTCAAGACTTGGTGGTCACTGACCAACTCGGATCGCCGTACATGATCCCCAACACCAGCTTCGACGCCGCCATGGTGGATTTAACCAACCCCGCTGCTCGAACGTGGCTCAAAAACATTCTCCTTGATATGATTCAAACCGGTGTCCGAGGCTGGATGGCAGATTTCGGCGAGGCTCTGCCTTTGGATTGCTCCCTCTATTCAGGTCCACCATAAGTCTATCTATCATCCCACCGCGTTGTCATCGATAAATCATGCATTTGTGGTGTCGTGATCAGGGGCGGCGGTGACAATGTGTTCTGACGAGCGTGAGGTTGTGCAGGGGAGGAAGCGAGGACGGTGCACAACCAATATTCTGAGCTTTGGGCGCAGCTCAACCGAGAGGTTGCCGAGGAGTGGGAGGCGACGCAGAAAGGCAGAAGGCTGGATGAGGGCGAGGACGAGGACGAGAAATTGGTGTTCTTCATGCGAGCAGGGTACAGGGGAAGTCCGAGGTCGAGCACGCTGTTCTGGGAAGGGGACCAGATGGTCAGCTGGCAAAGGCATGACGGCATCAAGAGCGCTGTCACGGGCCTTCTGAGCGGCGGCTTGTGCGGCTTCTCTCTCAATCACAGCGACATCGGCGGATACTGCACTGTCGACATCCCTCTGGTCCGCTATCGCAGATCCGAGGAACTCCTCCTCCGCTGGATGGAGCTCAACGCCTTCTCCACCATCTTCCGCACGCACGAGGTTCGACTTCTGTCTCCCCTCCATCGCTAACCAAGCATCGCCACTGACGCATTTGACGCTATCAAACGTTACGAGCCATTCGTGCTCTAGAAAAAGGAGACCCAATCCACCCTGACCTTCCCTGAAATGCGAAGGCTCTTTGAGGCCGACAAGGATCGATCGAACGAAGTAATTAAGTGAGCGATGTGTTGTTCACTGAAAGTATTCATTGCTTCGAAGGGATACAAGTGATTTCGAGGCATACGGAAGGACTTGGAAAAGTAGTAATCTCTCATCAACGAGGCTCTTTGACAGGTCAAAGCGCTTGACTCGAGTTCGAGCTCGTTCTCAGGGGAGCAGCTCAGCCCTACAACATCGAAAGTAAAGGTCTGCCCACGAAATAACACGGGGCACACAGATTTAAGCTCTTGAGCCTGAAGTCTGTCGTGTCCGTAGAGGAGCCTTCGTTGAGCTTGCCTACACACTACACTTGTACCATTTTGCCGTCCCTTAAACAAGACCTGCAATGTCAACATCTGTCCACAACAGCAGCAGCAGCAGAAACGCAGAGGGGACGACTCAGCTGCGCAGATTAAGGATAGGGAAATTGTCCATATCACATAGAATCCAGAATCCAAGCGATCGAAGCGGTCGCTGCTGCTGTTGAGGTCAATTGTTGGCGTTGCAGATAAGAAGACCCTTCCTTAACCCCATAGCGGGATTCTATGCACGAGAGGCACGCGAGCGAACTATAGATAGATCGAGAGATAGACACGAAGCGTAGGTTTGTGCTGAGCCGCAGCCGTCGATAGAAGGCGGCTGCAGGAACGAGCATGTCATGTGAGGTGGTCGGAAGTGGTCGTTCCTCGATGCGCAAGCTCGCTCGCTCAGAGCTCAGAGCTGACAGTTGGGTCAATAATGCCCATCGGTGCTCGCCCTCTGCGCCACGTGGGACCAGATCTCGGACCCCCCTCGCCACGTCGTCTGCCAGCGCAATAATAGTTGGAGATGGAGTTCCTGACATGCCGTTCCTTTCCTGTCCAATCGCTCATCCACCCCAGATTCATCCACTCCGTCTGTCTGCTGGGTTCATTTCGATTTGCAGCAGAGCCCAACATTGGGTGCCCATGTCCATGGGTTTTGGGTGACATTATTTTCCCATGGGTGGGCACAAGTAATGGTAAGGGCAGTGTTTGTCAAGATCCAACCGAGAATATGCTTAATTTGAGTTGCATGGGAGTGCACAGGTATGCTATGGGTGGGCTTAGGTCGCTGCTGATGGTTATGGTCTGGTCTGGGTGCAGATCTGAAGATCAAAATGTTGGCCTCTGATTTGAAGTAGAAATTCACTCTGTTTCGAATGTTCTCTCCGTAGATGTCGAAGGGTTCAAGCTCCATCAATGGGGTCCGTTCAGTTTACTCGACTTTTTGTTTTCTTACTACATGTCCAACAATCCCCTTTTCTGTCTAGAAAGTCGTCCCTTGGACGGGAGGGAACGGCAAGCACACTCCTATAGTTCGACCTGGCACTCTCAGACGACTGCTGGCCATATTTGTCGGGATTTTAAATTCGTGTGGAATGGAAAGTCTGAGAAGTGGAAGAGTGGAAGAACTCAGCTCTCTTGACTCTTTCCGATCGTCTACGTGGACTGCTTTCTGAAGCAGTGAAGTGCGTGTGAAAGCGAAGGAAGATGTCGTTGTTGGGGTTTCAGTTGGTTGAGTTTTCGAGCTGTGACTTTCTATGGTGGAACTTTTCAATGAAATCTTTGGGATTCGAAATGCCTGCTTTAAAGTGGAGGGTATGGCAGTTGGCCAAGTAGCCGATGGACTGACAAAGACGGATGGATGTGTTCAGGGAAATGGTCCTGCTTCAAACAGCCAGTTCTACTCCAACGACACAACTTTCAGACATTTCGCACGGTTTGCCAAAGTTTACAAAGCTTGGGACTTCTACCGTCGACAGCTGGTCAAGGTACGGCCGCTGCTCACGTCTTCATGCCTCACCTCACACCTAAATGCTATCGTCAATGCACGTCTTGCTACTGCGTTGTGAACAGGTGCAAAAAACTCATGACTGTGACATAAGGCCTGCGGATGGGACTCTGGTCCACCTAGAAAAGTACGATGGTGAATGCAGCCACTCCTGCATTCACCATCAAGGCTGTGGGCATAACGCAATCCCATTCGATGTTATGGTGTGACTACACTCTGCTGAGTGAATGTGAAAGCCTGACGAGCACCCTGTTTTGCCAACATCCATGACATACGTATATACGACAATCAAATTGTTTAGAAGTGCCAAACATTGTTCTTCTCGGGGCCAAGCGTACCTCGGAAGATGGCCAAGTTCTTCAGATAGATGCTTTACAGGACGGGTCGGAAAGAGTTCGTGTATGGAAGCTAGAGAAGATTGCAGCATCATAGCAAAGCATTTGATTCTGACTTGGAGTGGGTTGGAAAACGATTTGCAGGAGGCGGCAGAGACGGGGTTACCTGTGGTGAGGCATCTGTTTCTGCACTACCCTCATGACGAGACGGTGCTGACGATCACGTATGAAGAGTTTCTGGTTGGCAGTGAGATTCTCGTGGTTCCTGTACTGGATCAAGGTCACAAGCGAGTTCAGGCTTATTTTCCGCGGGGAGAGGAAGATGATGAGTGGGAGCATATATGGACAGGGAACGTGTACAGATCTGATCAGGAGGTCGATCATTTAATATCTCACGCCAGCTTCAAAGCCTGGATCGAAGCTCCGCTGGGTTTCCCCGCCATCTTCGTCAAGGCAGGCTCTGAAGTTGGGGCCAGGTTCAAAGCGAACCTGATCAGTGCAGGATTGCTTGACCCGAGGTGACGCTAGTCCGAGATGGAATCTGGTGAATGCATGGGCTGTACATTCCACAGAGATGACGTGAGACGACGTGATGGATTGTTGCTTAGTCCTGTCTTGAGTTGAACTGTATATAATTCTTTTAGTAGCTCGACCTAGTTGTTTATATTCATGAAGCACTGAGCATTGTATGACGCATTCGTCAAGCTTGAACTAGGCCTCAGTAGCTGTAAAATTAATCTTTTGGTTCACTTGAAATTGAGTTCCTGCAGCCTGTGCTGCAGAAGCTAGTAGTTCAGAGTAGGAAATCTGCAGTTACATTTATACTAGTCTGCAGAATTAGAGTTCTTCAAAAGCTGCGGTTTGGAAAACCACAATTTGAAGTGTACCGATAACACGTACCAAATATGATTCGAACGCTTTGCCATCTCAAAATCCATCATGATAAGTTTTGTTGCGCGTGGCTCCAAAAGCATCTGTCCTCATAATTTACACACTTTCCAACGACTTGCAATCCCGGACTTGGATCCTACTCGTCCGTAGCTTGTCCAAACATATATCGGAATCTGCTGCTGCAGACCCGGTCCAAAATTGAGCTCGAGATGTCCTCTCCCAATTAATGATCTCAGGTGGGAAGTTCTTGCGTTCCTCGCGGTTCTTGCATCTGTACAGGCCGCTTGACCACTGCTGCTGCACAGAACGGAACACTATTCGTTAATTCCGCGAATGTTCGATTTGACTAGACAAAGTAGATGGCTTTGCGAGCACGTGAACCATGTCACCAAATTCAACACAAAGTTCACCGCCATGATGGGTTTCTCGGGTTCTGCGTCCTTTTCGTTTCTCATGGTAAAATCAGCTGTTGCTGTCTCTGAAGTTCGGGAGATCCCAATCTCTCGGAGTGAAGAAAGTCGTGTGATCGTAATGACAACTGGCTGCAGAATATGCTCGACTTTCACTCGAAGCTGATAACGGTCTGCACAGAGAGACGTCGTCATACTCTCGTAGGCTACATCTGCCTACGAGAAAGTGCATGAAATCATGTGTGCCTCTTGGCTTGTCGTCACTCCAAATGACAACAGTCGTTACGAAGAAAATTACGTGAAATTAACAGCTCAGCTGCTGAGTCTGCTTCTCGTTTTCAACGATTGTGCATTTGCTTCAAGCACGCGCTTTCTTGACGCCACGAGTGGCGGTGCTTACGTATTATACAGAGCAAGTGGAACGTCACTGCGACACGCTTTTCTGCAGAAGATTTGATGCTACGGAGTTGAGAAAATCGTTTGGACTGAACGCCTCTCCTTGTCGACTTGGATGCTAAATGCACGACCCACATTTTCATGCAGCACTTGTTTCTACACGAGTGACGACTATGGCACATTCACCTGGAGCACTCGAACGATCGATCCAACTCAAATGCTGTGACAAAGAGACGACAGTCGAGAGCACGTGGGACGGTAGGTATCGCTCCAAGTTCTGCTTCATGTACTGTCAATTGTTAGGAAGTAAATGTAATCGCCAGTACTGGAGTTACTGCAGAAGGCTCGATAAACAAGTTGCTCACTGCGAACTGAGACAGGAGACAGTAGAACAAGAGCTCACAGTCCTTTAGTGGAATATGGGGCACGACAATACAACTTGCTCCAACTCTATGCTGGATTGCTCGAATGGAAGCCATCCGAACTGTCACCTATTCCGCAGACTCACTGAACTTCCCCTCCACGGGGCGTAAGAATTATGCTCGAATTCAACCTACCAGTCGGGGCGGCAGTATAATTCCAAAAACGGTAGCCCGAGCATGTTTAGTATTCTGTATTGCACGCACTTTACCGTGTGAGGGACAGGAAGAACACGTGAAATCCTGCGGCCAACAACCGTGCGCACGCCCGTCAATCTAGAAACAGTCCTGAATGTAGACTGGGAGCAGCAGCTTGTTAACAGAGTCACCTGAAGATCCTCATCATCTGAACTCGTAGACACAGGGGAAACATTTTCACACAGACTGTAAACGATACACGGCGAGAGGAGCGACAAGTCTGGCCCCATTGCACGGGAGGACGTGTTGGCCGAAAATGCGTCCCTGATGCGACGCGGAATCCTTTATGATTACTAAATGATGGCACAATATAGAGCTTCATGAATCATGACCGTCCATAGGTAACAAAATGTAGAAAAAAAACTAACAAATCCTACCTGTCTATCAATACATGAGACTACACTACTCGTAAGATTGGGTCTGAAGGGACCCATATGGAGCTGCTTCGTGCGCCTCGATTCCAAGCTGCCCTGTAGCGCGCTCCAATTCACCCCCTCTAGAAGAATGAATGACTACGAGACAGTTCATAGCGAACTGTTATTCTCCGTCACCTCACTCCAGGTTCCTAAATGTTTTTGCGTCGCTCCAACCACGACCTGCGACTCACGTTGGAGCGTTTTTCTTCTTTTTCAAGGCTTGCACACAAGATACACATGCCTGGCAAGAAACGCGCTGCAGCCACACGGCCGACCTGTCGGCGGCCAACTTTTCTTGGAGAATTCACCGTCGACGCTCGGAGTTGCGCCAAGATCCGATCGTGCGGCTTGCACTTGGTGAATTCACCAAAGATTTCTGCCGCCGGCAACGAAGGCAATCACACCGACGAGAGTACTGGCGATGAAAGAGGGCAAAAGACCGCCGGCCACACCGGATTCCGCAGGACCGGGAGCAGGGGCGGGAGCAGATTGTGCTTCCGCGCCCATGCTCGAGGCCAAAACCATGCTGACGATGACGACGGCTGCCAAGACTGTCATACCGTTCGAGGCCATGTTCCTCCCGAACTCGCACGAACACAAATCCGCACTGAAACACAGCTTCACTTCTCACAACAAGGCTCACACAACACCCACACGACGCCCGAATCGGCCGAAGAATGCAAGTTCGCTCGCTTATCACAGAGGGGGGGAAATTCAACCCAGAAAGTGGAAGAATGCGGAGGGTCAGAAGAGAGAGATTTCGAAGCCCCGATGGAAGATGGAAGCAGAGGCAGAGGAAGAGGGCAAGAGTGAGGTGGGCAGAAGACAAGTGGCTTCGAGATCTCACTCTTCTCCCCGGCGCAACTTGGCCTTTATAGTCCGCGCTGCGAGCGTCCATGCTGCTGCTCTCTATAGCCGGTACGGGCGATGATAGGCGAACGGCTTCACGCACCGGGTGCCGGGTCGTCGCTGCCCCCGAGGCCCGCTCGCTCGGTTCCCCTCCTCTCCGTCCCCGTCCCCGTCCGTCCTCTCTCATTCGACAGACCTCTGTCCAGAAGTTACTCCGGCCGTCTGTCCGTCCGGGAAACAAAGATGGCAGTCGGTCGCGGACTGGCCGGTTCGAAGTGCGGTACGATCGGATGCCGTTGCGAATCGACCGAACGGGGAAGGAATCGATCCGTCGATCCGGCGATCCGGCGCCGCAGTCCGGCTCTAAACTGTCGTTGGCAGTCGTCGTCACCCGTGACCGGCCCGGCCTTAGGAATCGACGGGCGAGGTGCACGCATCGGGTTCGTCGCGCGTCTGAGGTCGAACGTCACTTCCAGCTGGACCGGGCAGCGAGACCACGTTCGTCAGACTGGTGACCAGAGATCGCTCACGACGCCCTGCCCCACATTTAGCTCCCGCTCGGGCTGGAACTGCCGCCGCTGATATAGCGGGAGGCCGCAACACCTGTCCTCCCGGATTTAGCCCCCGCCCCGATTCTTTCCCAGGCCTTCCCATGAGCCCGCGACCTCCGCCCGCCAGCGAACACTCCTAACTCCATGACGCCTCGCAGCTAAACTGGCGCGAACAGAGGCGAGCCTCCCACTAAACTGGCTGGCTCCTGCCAGATATAGCGCATCTCACTGGCGGGAACGGCGACCGCAACCGCGTCCCCGTAACGGACGACGTCCGCGTGGGGTGGAGAAGGAAGGACGGAAGAACGGACGGACGAGTCGATCGGTTTGTCCACGGTTCCCTCGATGCTTTCGTACACGAGCGTTCTCATCATCAGAGTCTTCGGATCGCTGACATTTGCGGTGGAATCGGCTCGAGGATCATGCCTCTTCGAGTTCTTCAGGTGATCACTGTTGTGATCGATGCCGCGGTCAAGGCCTGGACTAAAAAACGGTAATGCGGAGGCCGCAGCAAAACACTCGAGCGCAGAAAAAGCCGCACTCGCACGCCGTACTGCGCCCGTCGAAAGAAGGAAGGAAGGGACGCGGGTGTTCAGTTTCCCGAGGAGCCGAGCGATGGAATCTAGTCCCTGCGTGATCGAGGCTTTTGGGCATGGGATGTGGGGAAAATTGCTCTGCTCTGCCTCTCTCATGATCGTCGTTCTTGGGTAGATTCTCTAATCTTGTACTGCAATGCGTGCTAAGAAATAAGCAAGCTACTAACTGCAAGCTGAACCACTTCAAGGCTCTCGCAGATGGCCCACGATGGAAGGTGCACAATGTGTCTGCCGTACGACATCAATGAGAATGTCGTTCGAATGCCGGCGCTTTGAAGAGTCAGTGCTCGTTGAAATTCAAATCGAGAATGGGAACGTTCAAATGTCTCGCTCGAGCATCTGCGATTCAGGGAACGAGTTCACGAAGCGCAGAAAAGATGTGTCCTTGTGAAACTATTGAATGCAAGAACATGCACATTTTCCATCCTTGAAAGGGGTGGTGGTGGTAGTGGTGGCGGAAGGCAACGGTGCTAGTTCAACGAGATCTTTGCATGGGAAGTCGCGAGCTCGAGCGAGTAATGGGCGCAAATTTCGAAAGATGATTGTTGTACGTCGGCTAGAACAGCTAGCCCTCGTTCAATGCCCCACAAGCTCCGCACGAGTTTCAAAATGCCTGATCGAACAATGATTAATTTGGCGTCTTGATTCAAACCCGCATCATTCCGAGTCAGTCAACGTAATGATCCTTGCGTCATGAGCCACTTCGAGTTTGCTCCGTTCGTTCGTCGCTGGGCCCAACGGGGAACGGAGACCAGACCTTCATCGACTTTTCATTCATCGGTAAGCTTGACCGCATGGCGTGCAAAGCTTTGAATAGTCGTACCCCATCAAGAGGAAAGCAAAGAACATTTTAAATCAATTCCGACCAAGTAGATCCTATCATGTGCTGTAGTAAATTAAGTTGATCACGAGGGTGGATAACAGCATACTGGACATTATTACCAGATTATAATTTTGTAATACTTCTCGTTACTACATAATACTATTGTATAACAGTTCCTTCATATTTTCCACCTGAAGGTTATGATTATAAGAATTAAATAATTTAAATACAAAATTATCTTTCTTTTCATAGATTGGTCATAGTAAATAACATGCGTATAAACAAGATTCGATTAGACTCTTGACTATTATTTGTATGCTAACCTTTCCGTTGATAATCCCATTTGACATCTTGAGTAAGACTTTTGTTTCTTAAATGACTACTAGAAACATGTTCATGTTTTAGGTAAACGTTTGTTCTTTTCCGTGAAGTTCATCAACAACGACTGATATCCACTTGGGACAAAAACTCTTCCAGAGAAAGCCGAAACTCAAAAACATGCAAGACTTCAATAACCTTGAGTAGCAAAATTTTATTGGTATCCAGATTTATGAAAATTTATCATAAGATTATTCCTGCAATATCGTAAGAGTTTGACCTCATACAAGACTCAAAAAAACCTTGAATGAAAGAGACTGAGGTGAATGGAGGTGCCAACAAATAGTGAATGAAAGTGAGTTCAATTCAAGAGAGTAGTATTCAAACAAAGAAGCTAAATTTCTGGCATAATTCCAGTAACATATGAATATATGTGCTCAAAAAGCAGCTTCCAAAATGAACTCTCTTTTTTAAATTTTTTCTTCATGCATACACATAATTAGAGTATAATATATACAGAGAAGCTAGATTTTAAGCATAGTTCCTATAACATATAAATATATGTCCTCAAAAAGCAGCTTCCAAAAATAAGCTCTCTTATTTGAACATTTTTCTTCATGCATAAACATAACTATTCTACGTTATATAATTTGAGTTCCATGTTGTAATGTAATGTACATTGATCCCTTTTCGGGAGTGTTGCAATGTGGAATTCTGACAACCATCAGTAAGGAATTGTCAGATAACAAGTAGTTACTTGCCTACTTGAGAGTCCATCAAAAATGTTTGCCCTAGGGGAAACATACTCAGATGCACCTACCTGAGTTGCAAAAGCACTAGTTCCAGTCTAGAAATGTAATCCCGTTCATATGCAACTTTCGGAAGACGAACCGGTCAGCAGCGTTCCCCGGTAGTTCCTCACGTCCAACTTGTATCAATATTCTCTTACTACATATTCTCGAGGTAAGGATCAGGGTAACAACGAGGGGAATGATCTAAACCGTGCAACCATCTTAGACGGGGCCCATGAACTTTCAAATGAAAAGGACCTTATGATTGGAGCTGAGGGGGGGTCAAGTAATCCATCAAAAAGTAAGATAAAACCCCATGAATAACAGAAGATTTAATTCCAATAGCATCAGGATCCGAAGTATAGCTTATCAAGAGTCTTGACTATCTAAAGACATTTTCAGAAACACTTCCTTACTTGATTGCTATTCTGTATGTAATACATCAATAGGTTTTATTTATTCTTAAATTTATTATATCCATCATTGCAATATGTTTCCTTCAATTATTTATTATGTGCTAAATCTTTAATATATTAATATCATTGTCGTCTAGTTAATTATAATTTCATAGAATTAAGAATTTTGGTTTATAATTTGAATAAAATGCTAAAAAATTGCAATAAAATATAACTCCAGATTATTTTCAAAAAAATAACAAAAAATGACTCTTTGCTCAACTCTATATTTGAACACTTATTATAACACATACTATTTGTTGCCAATCTATGAACTTAGATGCTAGTTATGAGCAAGATTGACAATGATCACATATGCAATAATGATACAAAATTTTTACAAACCAGTCAGATTCAGTGTGTAGCAACTCTATCCCTCATGGTGAATATACCCCTTATATCAAGAGACAATATCATGATGAGACAATTTTACTACCATTTAATTAGAGATCACATGGCACTATATTTCCATATTTGGCGTACCACAAAATAAATATCTTTTTATCCAAAATGTGATGTAAGCAGATATTGCGCAAAAAGAAATTCTCTTTATCTTACGAATAATGAAAATGCACGTAGCAGGCTGCCTCGCGCCTGCAATCAGCCCTGTCGAGAAAAAAGCCTTTCCAGGAATGCTTCGCAGCAGTGACCCGCCGGCGGAGTGGTCGCAATTAGGTGAGAACTACAGATGGAGTGTCTGACAAACCACGTCATCGCCGGTAAATAAGCTGGCGAATGGCTGGCGGCAGCACTCCCCTTTCCCGTGCAAAGTGCTGCAGCATATCTCCAGCTTGTCCTTTTCCTGTCCACACGTCCTCGACGCCTGTTCTGCCACGTATGAAAAAATCCTCGTCTTCCTCCACGTGGTAGAGAAGACTTACTTGTGCCCATACGCATACGTGACCGGAATTGGCCAGAACTCCTCGTCCTTCGGATCCATGCCTGGACTTTCACCACTCCACTGCTTTCGAGGCCAGGAAGTCCGTCTGTTCTGTTCTGTTCTGTTCTTCGCAGTGAAGGATTCTGAGCTCCAAGTCTGCAGGAAGACACAGTATCTTCCTCATGTGAAGTCGTGATAAAAAAATTTCCAAAGACTTATTTAGTCGTGATGGGAATCCATCTACGAGACCTTATTGCAGGCGTTCAGCTCGAGAGATAGAGATAGAGTTATACCGGGAGAGTGATTGATACCTTCTCATTCTACTTTGCTCGAGGAGCAGTGCTTTCCTTGGTTGGTTCTGCCATCTTCCATTTTATACCACCAGTCTCCCGATTAATTATTTTCCGTCTTCCCAAGAATCCTCGGAGCTCCCACATTGCATTTAGGCCAACTCGTCTATCTCCACACCTCCGGAAGCGATTCTTCAATAATGCAGAGCACAAATCACCGCCTTCGTTGTACTTGAATTCGAGGTGAACTACTGATCTACTCGCGAATTCATCGTCTTATGCAATGTTAAGACTTCGAGAAAGGTCCCCCAACAAGTGTTGCATGAGCCATTAGTGGGGAACATGAGTGGCAACGGAAGTCTTAGAAAGGAACGAAATGGAATGTTGTGCATATGGCTAAGTATTCAGCCTTCCAGTTTCCAAAGTATACACCGCCATAACTTCCCTCCCTCCACGCCTGCAATTACTGTTTTCTGTATGGAGATGGCAGAGGCAATTCCCGAGGTGTCGCCAACGGAGAGATCGGATTTTTGCGTATCTCGAGTCATATGGAAAGGGATTGCAAGTACATCTATATTCCTCAGTACTTCACCTCATGCGAAGGATAATTCTCACAGGCAAGCGCGACGACTGCTGGAGTCGAGTGACATTAGCGCGAGGTTGGGAATAAGTTTGTACTCATTGAGGAGTCATGAGAAAATCGGAGTGCTTGGCTTGGGCGACGAGCAAAGTTCCCTGTACGTTTGAAGGAATTCGTCATCATCAGCTGTAAGCTCCATAACATGAAACAATCCGTCTCTCTCTCGCAAGTGAGTGAGGCCCGGATCCAAAGGTGGAGTCCGGTATGGAATACGGACTCCAGAGGTTCGGAGCTTGAAGAGCAAGGGATTCATGATGCAGCTGCGCCGCGTCTTTCGGACTTCAAAGAGAGTTCACATCACGGTAGCTCAATTTGGGGATCACTGTTCGGCTTGAGGACAAAGATGGACCAGATTCTGTCATGCCCAGATAAGACTTGGTTCAGGAAAAGACCTTCTTCCATTGACTTTGGAGGACCCATGGCTTGGGGACGAAGAAAACAGTGGCACCTGTTGGGAAAGTTCGACCGCCACAGCTGCCGATGACAAAGATCAGCACAGCAGTTTTTGCCAATGGCAGCCGCGGAAAGCTTCAAAAAGTTTGATACTGTGGTCGTGCTTTCCGGGCGACTGGTGCATCCATGTCCACTGTGCTCGTTCCGCATGGATGTGCATTCTGCTGAGTTCATCGATGTCCCGACTCGCGAGTCATGTGACTTGTGTCAGCTTTATTACATGTGACGAAAGTTCTCGGTCACCGAATTCTGCAAGGCCGGCTCCGGTTCGCCCTCTAGAGCAAGAGGCGTTTCGAGTCACGAACCCTTTCCCTGCACAGAAGAACCGTCCCCACGTTCCGCCCAACAGACTTTACAGTTTTCCGAATGAACACAAATTGGAGAAATTCTCCATTGCTGAGGCTGGAAATCGCAAGCAGCATACAATTCTACTCCTCCTCCTCCTCCTTCTCCGTTCACTTCACTTCAAGTAATGGTCGGAACTCGTCTCTTCACTCCCGGTGCTCGCTGGGTCTTATGTCGTGGTCACTCCGGTTTTCTCCCTCTAGGAAAGAGATGATTTCGTCAGGATCAGTCATTCGCTGATGAGATTGATTTTTATCGCCGATCATTATTTTAATTCTTCACTTTGTAGATCTTGACTTTTCTTATTAGGAGAATCTTTAGATTTGACACATGTGTGCCAATCGAGAGGAGGTCACGAGACCTTCATTTGAGCTCAGCGGCCAGCCAGCCAGGAGACCACGAAGGCGAGCTCATGATCTTGCGGCACCTGCCCGTCTGGTCATCATCCTCTGTAATCTAGATTCGCTCGTCCGTTAAGTAGAGGCGTTCTTGCAAACACTCTTCCCATTCTCCCATTTCCCTAATGTCCCCCTCGCATCGTGCTCCATTCCTCTTCCGTTCCTCTAATCATTACCCGACTTCAATGATGAGGATGTACAAGAGGGGACAACCACTCAATAAGCATGAAGTTCACCCTTGCAAGGCCTTTTCTCGTCCGATTCAGCTCCTTGGACAGCACCACGGCAGAAGCTGGACGGGTTCATGTGATGCCTGGCCAGGTAGGCTGCATGGTGGTCTCGCCCAAGCTCTGAAATAGTAGATCTCAGAGGTGCAACCGAACAGCTACATGTATCCATTGAGCTCCCTTGAGACACGACTCCCAATCGCATATTGCGTTTCTTCTCGTGATGGGCGGGAGAACCAAGACCTTCATCAATTACCTCCTCCTTTGCCTTCTGTTGAAGCTTGATCTGAAGACCTTTTACAATGGCTGGAACATTATGATAAGTGTGATCCATGGCCATTCTTCCTTGTCTGTAGGTGTAGATTCCAGAGGTCCAAGAATGTGAAGAGTACGACAGGAGCTTCTGCCCGTCATGCGAGTGTACAGAGAAGGAGAGACGCCAAAGTTGACTGCCCACTTTTCTCACTAGCCTGTATCGAAGTTAACGTCATGTACACACCTTAGTCACTTCACTTGTCTCATGATCCTTGGGCGTACTGCACCGTAATCTTCTCGTGTGGACTAATTGTGCTTGGACTTGTTCAGGGTAAAAAGTTCGTTTACGTCACGAACTTGTGAGTCCATACCTAAGGTGGCTTCCGTTTGCTCGATAGTGAAAAGGTACCTGCATTCGCCGATCGTTAGTAAGTCTCTATGCCGACCGCTTGGTGAACCCGCTCTACCTTTCGCAAAAGGCCAAGTCATCAGACCTGTAGATTGTTGGGCGGATTTTGAAGGATCTGGGTGGATTCCGACGATACATACAGTTGCGACTATCAGTAACACAGGGCATCTTCAGTTGTCCACCAGCGTGAGAATCAGTGACGAGTCGACCATAATCTCCAATAATTCTTTTGTAACAGCCGTGTACACAGCACGTGACTCACCTACTCTTGCGATACAGTTAATTAGTGTAAGTTCTGAAATCTCGTATTCAAAACCCTACACTGTAGTTTCGTTTGTGATTCGATAGCTCTAAAGTTGCACGAAGGATGGTGCAGCTTCGGGACATCGACATTCATGTGTTGTACTGGTTTCGGCGAGGCTACGATGAACAATGTCAGCAAACTTTCGGCAGACAGACGAGACTTCGCCCGAAAACAATTAAGACACAATCGACGCGAGGGAAGATAGTTATGGGCCTGAAACAACTTTGCGTCTTCAAATTATTCAGTGTGAAGCTAGAAAGAACCCTTCGTTCGGAACGACTTTAAAGATAGAACGGCTACACATCACGGGGAATTCCAATATGTAGATCCTGGTCTCCGTATTATAAGGAGGAACATGGCCTTTGACAAGACACTTCCCATATTCTTGTCCATCGATAAGGCGACTTCCAAGGCCCAAGTAATAGATACCATTTATCTTTAGAACATAGTTCTACGTCAGATTCATATGCTACAAACCTGGTAAAACTGCGAATCTGCCTTTCCAAGCGACCGGACAACGCTCCAATGAATTGCTGCAAAAATCTTCACCTTGAGTTTCTACTCCGTGAGTCGTTTGTTCAAAAATCTCGACGAAAATCTCCATAAATAAATTCTCTCGCACCCTTCCAAATGGAAGAAGAGATCCAGAAAAGTGGTTTTGTCATCGGCCAGAACTTCACGAATTTGTAAACATAATGCAGTCAACATTCAGAAATTCTCCATACGCACCAGTATGTGCATAGGAAGCCAAACTTCATCCTTACGCAATCTCCTTCAACTATTAATTTGATCATCTGGCGGCATGGCTCAGGAACTATGATAAAGAGACTGCCGAGTATATGTTATACACGGCTTAGTCTTACTTTACGTTGATCCTCCCTATATTTCATCTGGATCCGTTACTCCTGGGATCAATAATTTTCAATATGTGACAAAAAATGCTAATGTGCATAATTTGAGGGTTCGGATGGCATTCATTCCGCTTTTCGCTACCGTGATTGCACTTAAGGTATTTCTTTATGGTCAATATCTTAAGAGAATCAACTCGATGACTACATAGCCTTCCTTGTTCCGATCTTAAAAGTCAGCATTTATGCTTAAGTCTCTTTTAAAGATGTCCTTTCATGACGATAGCCAGCATTTTAAGACTTGAGCTCACTTATCCGGAACCTCGAAACATGATCTAAACCAGCAGCCGGAACGTGAACAGAAGAAAAACACCGAACATGTGATAATGAACATTGAGCCCCAGCTCACTGACATCGAACGGATCCTCGACTGACAGACGGATTCTCAACCTCAATTATAGACCTGGTAAAAACAGTTGAACGTGCATGGAAATAGCAGTAGTTGTATTGAACATACCTCGAGCCTAGAGTGACACAGGCGAACTTATAGCAAACTAGTTGGAAGCAATGGGTCCTCCACTCATTTCTTCAAGATAGCTTGGAGTGCAGCGTTGATGGGGGATGACCCAGCCTGCGCATGAATGCCACAGGCGACATGTTAGCTTTGAATGAACTAAAAGCGACTCCCTTTCCATTCAAGGCACTCATGCAATCTTCAAACACAGCAAGTCGTACCTTAACTCCAATAACAGTGGCAGTCCTCAATCCAAGAGTTTTTCCGAGACGCAGAGATCCCATTCCATCACCTCCAATGATGGAAACCATGGGAATACCCCTGCTCATGCAAAGCTCTCCGATATGACTAACTAGAATCTTGGGCTGCACATCCATCGCTACTATAATGGCCTGTATGTATATGAAACATCAAACCTCCCCTTCGTAAACCAGTCACCAAAATTGGATAACGATGTGTGAGCTTAATCAAAGCAAACCAACATGTTAAAGCTTGAATTGCCAGTATCAACAATTGAAAGCTTGACAGCAAACGCATTAAATACTATAGAAAGCAGATTTTCACTTTCAGAGCTCACATGAGACTGACCTACCTGCAACTTTATTGGTTTGCCTCTCGGTGACCCTGCAGGAGCTTCTTCACAAGACGCCATGGATGTGGCAAGCTTCTGAGATAAACTAATCCCCTTCTTTTCTTGTTTTGGTATCCTTTCCAGCGTCCGAGTAACATTATTGATACCAGTGCAGAAATGAGCCTAAAAAAGATAGCCATAAATCCCACCGTAGCATCTCAGCAAAGACGTGGTGTGTCAACTGAGATTACCGTGCAATCAGAGGCAGAAAAGCAGAGGCAAAGCCTTCACGACTTAGGGATCGCAAATCGACATTACATGACACCCAAGTAAGGTGACACCAGTACAATCAAATCAGAGATTGTGATGTATCAACACGTGAGGCAGAATAACAGTTCTGTTCATCTCCAGCCAGGATCTGCTCTGCAACTCAATGAGCATGCTCGTATCCACGTCAACTCGGGCGGTGTGCAAGTCTAGAAGATGTCAGGATGGCTAAGGGTCTGAAAGATTGCCGACACAATTAAAAACAAACACGACGCCTTTACTCACCAAAGTGGCTGCATTCCATGTCAAACTTGCAACAGCTTCGGCTCACCTTCAAAGAACCCCTACCATGCTGATCTCTGGACCGTTCTGTGCTGTCTTCCGACTTCAAAATCACTCCACTGTCCTTCAAGGCTCTGGGCAAAGAGCAAGCGAACATACGCTCACATCACGATCGCGAATTGCGGCAAATCAAATTCGAACCAAAGCTCGATCCATCTTCCGACTCATAGCGAGCACTAGGCAAGTCTCACGACAGCACAAAACACAAAGAAGATTCTCAGCCGACAAATGCAGCGCGATGAAGGCATACCGAGAGAGAGATTCGAGAAATGAATCGAGTGGCTTCCCAGAAATAGGGCGCTGGAACTCGCTCTCCATTTTCCGAGTGGAATTCTTCGCTGCCACTAAATCGAAACCAGCGGTCCCCCGCGACTAACCACTTTCAATTCTGAGAAGAACCGAAGCAACAACAGCAGCAGCGCTGCCCACTTCTGCCTCTTAACGACACAATTCTACTCAACATTTCGCGCACATTTCTGTCGCCGGTGGACAAATGCACGACGAATTTGTAAACTGGAGGCTAAAACCCCGGCCATCGACAAATCTTACGCAGTTCCATCGACCACACGATCTCCGCCGAAGCGCAGTTCCATGATCACTGCGTAGGTACCACGTTGCTTCTGATTATTCTACATTTGGCCGCAGGCACGAGTTTAGAGGCAGATGGGAGCAAGTGAAGTCAGAAATGTGACTACAGGTCGCCCTAACCATTTTCTCCAATACAACAGAGAAACCTATTTGTGGCAGATGAGCAAATCAGTGCCTTTCCACAACATCTATCAGATTTGTTAAAGTAAATTAATTAGTCATGAACATCTATCAGAATTGTTAATGTAAATCAATCAATCATGAAGCTTGTTTAAGTCTACATCTAGCATACAATTCACCTTAATCAACGTCCAGCATACAAGTTTGCATAAAGGTGGTACTATAGCCATTTATTATGTACTCTAGGGTACTTTTCCCTTACCTTATATTTATTGAAAACACTGACAACATTCTACTCTGTATTGGAATGAACATGGTCAGAACCTGGTCATGTTTCCGATAAGCGACTACATACATTGTATATGCATGTATATTTTCTATAAACATGACCAGGTACATTCCAATGTGTATAACATCTCGATCGCATTGTACTTTTGGTGGTAGTTTTTAAATCATATGTTTTATGAAATCTTCATCAGACACCCTGCACTTCATCACATAATTTGTTCAATTTTGCTAGCTACCAAAACTTGGATGTAAAGTGAATGCATGTGCTCCGAAAATTGAACCAGATGCACTAATGTAATTGTAACAATGAACTTATATATACAGATATAATTCCAATTCTTTTGATATTTGAATATAGATGGTTGACATTTAAATATGTTTACAGTTCAATATAAAAAATAAATTCAAGAATATATTAACGAATATATTCTTAATATTTATTTTTTCTAGATTTGATTGAATCAACTCTTTTTTCCAGATTGATCTGTCTCAAGAAATAGTTAGATATTTCGATTTACATCCTATCAGATTTCAATATTAGTTTTTCACACCCATAAACTAGATGTATCGTCGATTATTGATATTTCATTAATTTTTTAGACTCCATGACCGAAGAAATCCAATTAAGTTAAGGTATAATCATACAAAAAAATTGGAGTATGTGACTTTAAGCAGTTAAATATATTTGTTGATGTGTGTCAAATTCTTCATCTTTAGACCATTGGAAACTAGCTGTTGATTTTCCTGTTTAGTTCCTATGGATTATTGGAATTTTCCCATCATTTTTCATTATGTTCTTGGAACTTCAATAACATTTGCATTGCCGTTATTTCATTCTGATGATTTTTATACATTGTAGCCATAAAATGGATCTAAAATATCATCTGTTTGATATACTTTTGTAGTATTTTCGTAATCAAATATCTATACAAACAATGTCATTTCAAATATAATGTTCACATCTAATGTCAAAAAAAATTTTATTTATCATAAAGTATAAAAATAAAACTCTTTTTTAACAATTGGATATTTCTGATTTTGATGAACATAATATCAATCTTATACATTTGTTTCATATCTCCATTTAAGCTCAACATAAAAATAAAAATTGAAATAAAATTCCAATAAGTAGTGATATATACCATTTTTGAAACGAGTATCTAAGAACATTGAGATGTATACGTTGTAAATACTTTATATATTATATTTTTCTCAATGAATAGCTCTAAAAAGTACTGAAGAGACAAAATGTTAATATTAAAAATATGAGGATTGAATAAAAGTACTAAGATCAATCTCTATTATAATTTTTTTTGATTTAATCTTTATTCATTTAAAATTATTATAGCCATATAAAATATTAATATGAAACAATATAAAGGTAAAAAGCAATTTATTGTTACATACATGTATATTTGATAAATCTTATATGTGAAAAGTATAACAGAATAATTTTCTACGCCTAACAAATGAGTCAAAGAAAAAGACTGAAAATAAATGAATTCAAGATATTTAAATTTTAGTGCAAATATCATCTCTTTTAATGAAATTTGAAAAATGTGATTTTTGCCTTGTAATTGACTTAAATTTTAAATTTTTGGCAAAATTTGTGAAATTGTGAGAAATTTTTTAATTTTTAAAATATTTTTGAATTTTTAAATCCGAATCATAAAAAATTTATATGAAAATCATGTGATACAACATATGACTTCAGAATCAAATGATTAAGATGTAACATGGTTTGTATTAGAAAAATTCTTAAATTTTTCATGTGAGATATGTTTACTAACGAATTACGCTAACGTTCCTGAGATGTTTACAATACAACAATGAGACTTTGTTATACCTTGATTTCTACATTGTGTTCAGGAAGGTAGAATAGTGAATTTTTCAGTTAAGTCTGATCTATGCTTGATCATGGTATAATTTGAGAGAATCATAATCTTCTCCATTTCTGTAACAGGATAGACAAATGCAACAAAATTTAATAATACAAGTGATGACAAATAGGGAGTTTCCTGCACGTGTCATGATATTTGATATCAGAGAGCTTTCATGGATTCCTATTTCATCTACGAAATTCCAAAAAAAAGTTAAATAAAGAATAAAGAAAGCTATTGATTTTAATGTTGAAGCAACTCTCATGATTCAGATGAGGCAAGTTTCCTCGTGGCTACATGAAGTGCATGGGAGTGTATCAATTATCGATATCTCAGAACCGATGAAAGGGACATCTGTCCCAGCCAAGTGGGTAAAATAAAATATATCGTGGAAAAGATCCCAGAAGAACTTTTCACCTGCACCTTTTTGTTCATTTCGATGTCCAATGCATGCAGACACTCGAGAGAGGTGCGTAGACCGAGCAGGCTTGAAACTGACAGCAACAAACAATATATTCAGGTCTGAGTCTCTTAGGGCGTAACTCTTATTCATACGTGCAGCCGTGTGCCTTGTTATCAACATCGAAGCCAACGTAGCTTTTATTTGTACAAGGGTCGGTCAACAGCCCTTATCATATTCCGAGGATATGATTCCACATTCCACGCCACTGACGAAGACGAATGGATATTCAATCGATGACGGAGCAGCTACGTGTGTCATGCAGATTGTAATCTAGCATAACTATGTTTGCATAGGTAATATCTGAAGGTCTGCTTTGTCTTGAGAGACATGAGCTCAAGGTCTATCTTCCGATTCGTTAACTTCAGTGTCCCCTTATACGAGGTCCTGGATCTTTCTTAATGTTATGTTGGTGGTAGGGTATGAAGGTTGTGAAAGTATGATGTGAGCTGCGACAAACCAGAGTTCCTACACTTCGCAGCTTGGAACAGTTCCACAACTCTATACCTTCTTCTCCACAACTGATGCAGTGGAAGGAACGTGACTAACTTCGAACCAGCTGGCCATGATTTGAGCAGACCCTGGTTATACGCATATATTCAAGTGTTCACCGCAGTCATGATGCAGTCACCCCCGTTAGCAATATGCTCTTCACCATCAGACTTTTTGCAGCAGGGCTCTAGAGTTGTAGAAATTCTGATTCAAGTGACCTCTAGACTCAAGACTTCCCCATTCAGAATATTAGCAACAACTCTTCTCGGCGCCGAGAAGTCATTTTCCAGTAGAAGCTGCAGTAGGGGGCTGAAGAAGATATATAGCCCTCGCCCCATGCTCGAAATGCAACTGGTGGTTAATACGAAACTATCCGTCGCGCTTGCGTGTGTGCACCCAAGAAAAGAAAAGAATTGAGAACACAAGGAAAGTCCGATCAGTGCAGGAGAGACATGCGGACTCCACACAATGATGGGTTCAGTGTTGTAGAGTAGCATTACGTCGACCCCATTGAGAATTGACACAGGCATGTAATGATGCTGTGATCACCCGCTGAGATAGTCCATGGCCACTGGGCCCCGCTGGGTGCGGTCGCCGTTTCACTGACAGGAACAGACCATGTCCCCGCTCCGTGCCCGAATCTGAATATCTCTTGTCGAAATCCGGTCGCGTCAGGCATATCCCTTCGTCCAATACCGAAAACATGAGAATTCATTCGACCCCATACGTGGCCCAGGACCTTCTTCTATGCAGCATGTCCAGCCTCGGGACGAGACGGATCCATTGGCCGACGACGTGGTGAGGTCACGCTCGGGCATACTGAACTAAAAGGGAGGGAAGCCTCTTAAGACCGGACCTTGGCAAAGCAGAGCCGAGGCAGAGCAGATGAGGCTGGTGAGGTGTTGCGCTTTGTGGCGGCCGGAAGACCAAACCTGGTGGGCCTAATTATGAGGATGAACTGAACTCGAGACTCGTCGTTCCAGTCTCACTCACAGCAACTACTAAGATCCGGAACCGCGATAGGGGAGACATTGGACCCGATGCCGTCCCCTTTCGTGCTGGCTGCAACTGGAGGCTTCTGTCTGAGTGAGAAAGTCGCATCGAGCATCCTCGTTCGGCATTGAATCTTATCAATGCCGGACAGCTTAGCACTCCAAAACATCACCAGGTTGAGGGATGGCCGGGTTGTAGTTCCATCTCCATCTCCCGAGCTGGAGGTAGCTTGTCAGAATTGCGTGAACGTGCAACCACAGATAGCTCAGTGTCCGAGATGAAGTGGTAGTGGGAGTAAGAATAGAGCTCACTGACAACAAAGCTTCAGCTGGTAGCGAAGGCAGCATAGGGTGGAGCTCGAACCTCCAATCCAATTTCTGAAAGCAATCGACAGGTGGCGTGCCATGCCCCAAGATGTTGGGGTAGCTCGCCTGCGCAGCCAATGCCTGCCCTGTCTGCCATAGCTTCAACCCCTAGACCTCGACGTTCTGTCCGGCTGAGTCTGAATTCGACTCCTCCAAACGCTTTGTCCAAACGCGAGAGGCCGCAAGCAAAGCGGGCGGAGCTTGCATTCCCACCCCATCGCTGCCACGAGTCCCGGGGCTCGTACAAATCGGAGTCCCGAGCGTGGCGACGCCAGTCTAGCGCAAGTCGGGCTCGCCGCTGCCAAGCGTCCTCTCGTCTGGGCCGACAGTGGTCTCGCGCGGACGTGGAAAGCCTACCAGGGCCTGCAGTCGATAGGTCGCCGTGTGGCTCCACCTCCACGATCCATTGGGTGCGAACTCGACATGCGATGGCCAGCTCCGTGATCAGCCTCTCCTTTGCCTGCGATGCGACGCAGAGTCGCTGCCTGCGGGAGGAATGAGTGAATGATTGAACGAACGAACGAATGAATGAATGTCGACGTGAGGGGATCGCAGCACTCTCACGGTTTCGCGAGTCGCATATCCTCGATCCTTGATCCTTGCGTCCGTGCAGCGAGACGAAGGCATGACGTTGACCTTGAATCAGGCGTGGGGAACAAAAGCGACACTCACTGTGCCCCGGAGTTTTTTATTGTCGTGTAATTTTCTATCGACCGTCCAATTCTCCACGTGAAAAAGTAAACCGAGGCGGCGATTAGGCTGGCTTGGTCCCCCGCATCGACGAGGCCACACGGACTGAAGAAGCCGCCAACTGCTACCTCACAGATGCTGAAGACTAATGGAAATTATGCATCTGCGCAATGCAGTCAGTAATGGGGATCGTCAAACCTCTGCACGGGTTGCAGCCTGCCCGCCACCAGCCTGCCTGCCCGAGTCGTCTCGGAAGACAGCGCTGGAGAGGATGAAAGGCTGAGGCAGTGGGTCAGAGCTCAGAGCTCCGAGGTTCAGAGGTTTGAGTAGCGTGCACTCAAATGTTGCAAGAGAGGACAAGAGAGGATTGAAACTGGTCAGAGCTGGGAGCGGCAAGAGAGTGGCAAGAAGAGAGTGAGAGAGCTGACTGCCAACTTTCAGTCAGTCTGTTGGGTTCGATTGTTTATTTGAGCTTGCTGGTGAGCTGTTGGATGGGCTGCGTCGAGATGATCTCGCACCAGCTCAAGATATTCGACACATCTTCCGACCCGTATTTCGAAAAGAGTCGGTCATGTCGTGAGATCGCATCATCCTGCGAGAGGTGCTGCTGCACGGCGGTGCGCAGTTCCACTGGCCCTTCTTTCTCTCCGTCTCGGCTTTCTCGCTCGCTGCCCTGCACAAACGCGCTTCTACGAAATGGTATTCGACTTCCGGCTCATCGAAATTTCGGCGAGTGCCAGCCCCTTTCGTCCTGTTCCTCGGTGCGCAGCTCGTCGAATCATGGACAGGGCGGAAGAAAATCTCTCACCGGCGGAAAGAACCGGGACCACATTGTCATGTATGCCGGATTCGGAGAGTTTTTGAAGCAGGCTTCGTTCGTGCATTGGTTCCGCGAGGCCTGGCCTTACATTCAAGGTCACCGGTCTAGTGTCTTCGTCATTGTTCTTCCGGGCGATGTCATCGCAGATGGCGCTAAGCTCGACGGCGTCCTTCAGGTCTCCTCCATCTTGCTCTCGGTGAATGCTAGGAGGTCTGTTTTTCTTGCTGCTAGGAAGCCCGGAGAGAAGGGATCTTCGTTCAAAATGGTTGAGCTTCTTGAGGTCATTCTGACATGAATTCTTGCGCGTGGTCGTTCTGACAACTTGCGTTTCCATCTCCAATCCATCTCTCAACTGCGTGACAACTTCTGCGGAAGCAGGAGTTTTCAGACGGGAGCGACACCCAAGTTTCGGTGCCCAAGTGGAATGAGTACCTTCGCTCGCTCATGGATCTCACTGATAGAAACTGAACTGCACGCCAGTCCCACACTATTGAGAAACTACTGTTTATCTGAAACTCAGTCAAAAGCATCGTTGTCAAACGCAGGACGTATTGCTGCTGCATGGTCTAGGGGTCAAAATAGTGGTCATTCCTGGAACTCAACCTCAAATCGACGAGCTTCTGATCGAGCGAGGTAAGCAATCACAAGTGCTGAAAAGATGGCAGTTTCGCACAACTCCAGAGTGCTTCCTTGTGACATACTGTACATTACTGACATAGCACACGGTGGCTTGTTCAGGACTTAGAATTTTCGTTCTTTCTGAATCTCTTTGTGCTCGTGTCGATCGCTAGTGCAGTCACTGCAGGCCAAGCCAATGTTGTGTACTGTGTGATACATGCTCTGGCCCTGTTAGTAATCACCACGGATCTGTCATCTGTGACTCGTCGGGTGAATGATCGATACAGGGCATGAACCAGAGTATGAAGGAGCGTACCGAATCACGGGTAAGGAAGCGTTGGCAGCCGCCATGGAGGCAGCAGGCAGGATTCGAGTTACTTTGGAGGCCAAACTCTCCAGAGGCACTTCCTCTCCCGATCTTCGGAGGTCTGCAGAAAACGATCGTTGGAGTGAGGTTGCCGTAGCCAGTGGGAACTATTTGGCCGCAAAGGTAGAGCTTTTAACTTCCTCCAGAGAAAGTTGGATGTCATGCAGGGATGCGTTTGTGTGACGAGAAGTTACGTGTGCCTCATCTCGCTCTGAGAACTCTGATTGTCAGGATCTGGCGCAGGTTCTACCAAGCTCGGCTATTTTGTCACGTGCACTGAGATAGTAGTGGTGTAATCTCTGATCTAATGCAGAGGAGGGGAGTGGTGAATGGAGTGGATTTCGGCGCAACAGGGGAGGTCAAACGAATCGACACTAAGCGGATAAGAGAGGATCTAGACGAACACTCCATCGTTCTGCTTAGTAACCTGGGCTACTCATCCACCGGGGAGGTCTTGAACTGCAAGCAAGTTTCTTGAGCCCATCGCGAATGTCTTTGCAATTCTTATTACTGTCTTGCTTTCAAGCTGATTCAAGATCCGTTGATAGTTTGGAAGCTTCTGTACTATCTGCAGGGAGAAACTTACAGGCTTGAGTAGAGAGGTTTTCATCCAAGACGCCCTCACTCTTACCAGACAATCACTTTTTCCTTCGCTTGAGGTTGATGGGTCCGATATATGTAATGGTTCTTCGTGTTGATCTGTATTACTCCATGATCCACCGCCATGCCAGTCTGGTCTGTTTGTGGACTTGAGCTTATGAAAGGCATTTACTAACAAGTGCGATTACTCTCTGATGCAGTACATACGAGGTGGCAACTGCTTGTGCCATAGCTCTACAAGCGGATAAATTGTTATGCTTACTTGATGGACCTGTACTTGACGAGAATGGTCGGCCCTTCCGTTTCATGACACTTCGAGAGGCCGATAAACTCATTCGTGAGCGTGCAAGCCAGAGTATTGCTGCTGCTGACTATGTCAAAGCTGTTGCCGGCCCGGCGTATGTTAGAAGCCTTGGCCTATCTGTCAGCCATGGCAATGGAAGCACCTCGAATGGAGCTGTGAATGGAGCCAGAAACGGATCCTATGGTTCGAATGGACGGGTTATGAATATAGCAAGCAACGGTTCTTGTGGGTCAAAAGGGCAGTCGAGGAACACAAATGGGCATGCTAGACATGAAATCGATGGATATGCGAAAAGTACCAGCACCATGGCACCTGCAACAGTTCCGCAGGAAAAATCTGGCAAAGGATTTGCAATCGGAGGGCTGGAAAGGTTCAGTAGAACAAATGGCTACTTATCGGAATTGACGGCTGCTGTATATGTCTGCCGGGTAAGAATCCCGCTCAGAACCTTGATCCGAGAGAGAACTCGCGTAGTGCTTTATCGATGCTAGACTGGTTGGTTTGTGTCGTTGGCGGTGCAAGAAATGTGCAACTGACTTCTGGTGAACTAAGACTCTGAACTCCATTTCGCTCAGAATGGTGTCGGAAGGGTACATCTGCTCGACAGCAACATTCAAGGAGCACTCCTTTTAGAGCTCTACAGTCGTGATGGCATCGGTAACATGGTATCAAGGTACCATGTTCGAATCTTAAACAAGAGCTCAGAGTTGTACCTAGCATGCACTCACCTGCTTGTAGTTCTACGAACCTCACTCGTACACCTAGCTGAGTACATGATAATTCTCTACACGGACTATGATCTGAGTCTTGTAAGAGACAGTTACATACCAGGATGCTCACAAATCATAACTAGCAGTTGCTGCGGTTCTGAATGTATGGTGCAGTGATTCCTATGAGGGTGCGCGTGAAGCAACGTCAGCTGACCTACAGAGTGTCCTGGAGCTGCTGAAACCTTTTGTAGAAGACGGCATATTGGTTGATCGCCCATGGAATGTGGTAAGTTGTACTTTCTGCAGAGTTCAAGGAGATCGGTCCTATAGGCATGAAGTCATCAGTTCCTACCTCCACGAGCACTTTGACTCTGTTATCCATGCGCATTACTTCTAAGATTATCTCCTTAATCCTTAAATTTTGGATCGATCATTTGAGTGTAGCTCAGCAGCTCGGGGTGTTAGCTTTCTTGGGCTTTCGCCTTGTCAATGCCGAGAGATTCTCCTCTGTTGTTTGTTCCAGGGCAGGGATGACGATGAGTTGGAAATGATGTCTGCTGTGTTCTCAACGTGATAAAAAATTCAGACTTCGTGATGAAGGTCGTTTCGCGATTTGCATCCGTTTGACAAGAGTCTTTCTGTACAGCTGAAACAGGAGATAGAGAACTACATAGTGGTGGAGAGAGACGGCTCAATCATAGCATGCTGTGCACTTTTCCCCTATGAGAACGAAAAATGCGGTGAACTGGCAGCTTTTGCGGTTTCACCTGAGTGCCGAGGTTCAGGGCTCGGGAGCTCTTTGTTGGGTAAGTTTCGATTCCCTGGCTGTTTAACAACAATGTTCTAACCAATTAGCATCACGCATCTTCATGATCCATGGCCACGTTTGTCAAATCATGCTTTAAGCTCACTTTGCCTTATACTCTCCCTGGTTCTTTCAGAATACGTCGAGAAACGAGCAGCTGAACTGAGGCTAGAAAGAATTTTCGTTCTGACAACCCGCACTTCGGACTGGTATGTCCTTCTTCGCATTGTGAAAGAGCAAGGTCGCAGCGACCTCTCTGCCTTCCATGCCGAAGTTTGAATCAAAAAATCTAAACCTGTTGAATTGTCGCAGCTTCTGCAGTTCCCGGAAGGAAGTGGATTGATATATGCACTGACATACAGAAGTAAGAGCATTTGTGCAAGCTCTGACAATTTTTCCATGCATTCAGGTTTGTCCAGCGAGGCTTCACCGAGTGTACAGTCGATATCCTACCCGAAACTCGCCGACAAAGAATAGATTTTGCCAGGAGATCAAAGTACTATCAAAAGTACATCAAGCAAGGGGCCACAAATGGTGTTCTCACTTACAGATAGTTGAGCGTCATTGAAACCGGATGTGTCCTCTACACGAGTATGCAGCATGTAACATATAGGGAGATAGTAAAACGGAAAAGATTGGCGCTTTTCAGTTTTGTAAAGTGAACATACGCCTGAAATAAAAGACGATGGACTTTATCGGTCGTGGAAGCAAGGGTGAGGTCCACTTCTTATTTCGTCATAGTTAATACAAGAGGATTCCGTAAATCACCTTCATTAATATGCAGGTACTCAAACCCAAAACCTGTGGCTTTGGGTTTGACTATCTGCATAGAAGTTAGCTTGCTCGCAGGATAAGCTCGTTCAGAGATGACAGTGTACACTGAATTCAAAGCATGTAGGAGAGACGCTGGGTTAGATGCAAGATCAAAGCTTATGTTCGGAGTAGGTGACGGTTTACCTGTATATTAAGCACTGATAGGTGAGTGTTCTTGTTGAACTCAATGTGTACACCGGCTGTTAGTAATAACAAAATCCTTTTCTACTCATAATCTGCGGAAAGTTGAGGGGCTGCTTGTTAATTTAGTCGTTGCACGAAATTAGGCTTCGATGCAAAGAAGACGGGGACTTGGATTCAGTCAGGTGGCATAATTACCCGTGGCCAAGAGATGAAATTACGAAGGCTAAAGGGTTCACAAGTACACAGACCCCATTAGAAGTACCTGTTGCCGAAGACATCTTCCACAAGTTCTGAAGATTCGCAATAAATGACAAGGTGGAACAGAACTCTGCCGAGGTCGTGCTCTGATCAATCTCACGGTACAGATTGACCTCGAATGATTACCATCCAGTAGTCTCTTAGAATATGCTCACGATGAACAGAAGCATTTGTCGTTCCACAGATTCATTATCATAACAAAATTTTGAGGAAACTAAGAAGAATGTGTCCAACGGTGTCTCGGTAAACTTGAGTGGGCTACTCTGTTTTGAAGCCGCTCTAAAGAAAGATTGAGAATGGCAGCACGGCCTTTGAGTTCTGGTTGATTTTCCAGAACTCAGAATGTTCACTGATGTCGACTGAGTTCTACCTCCGCGTAAGGTCTCAAATGGGTTTCATTCTGTACCACGAGTTTTAAAGTACAGTGAGCTTGTTGAGTTAGCTGAATATGAAGTCAAGAGGAGTCAATTTCTCTATCTTAAGCGTCGTAGCTCAATACTGGAAGCAAAATAGTTTATTGGATATTATTGTTTGGAGCTAGCCCCATCTTACTTCCTTGGTATCATCCATGTCCGGCTTGATGGGGCTCCGCATCGTCTCCGCTAATACGATGTATTTGCTCTTGTGAAAAATGAATGCAAAATTTTTTGCCGAAGATATCGCACTGACTCTCTTTGTGCATAACATTCTTCTCGTGTTTAAATAAATCAACAATGCTTTGAGCCATACAATGTATTCGCTGGCTTCTCTCAGAACCAAGTAATCGGCCTTTGTTGTGGAAAATATAATGATTCTTTGAGGTTGAGACATCATGTCGAAGTCCTACATGATCAATTTCTCCTGCAAAATCTGTGTGTATGTAACCCTGTAATATTTCTTGTATCTCGAAACATGAAGAAGAAATTAGAAAATTGTTGACGATGATTTTACTGCTTTCTAGTGAATCGTTCGTAAGTTTCACAGAAATCTACCGTAAGCTCCCTAAACTTGACCAATCAATGTCTCATCAATGTCAAGATTGTGTCATCATTGTCGTAGCTAACCACAGAGAGAGTGCCGGAAGAAACACCAAAAAAATTTGGACCATTTCTCGATTTGTGCGTGTCATCCTTGCGCAGGGGCCATGCTAATCTTCTCTGTATCGTTCCAATTTTAACGGATGTCCCCGAAGGGACGAGAGGGGAGATGCAGTCTCAGTATATATACACTAATATTTATTCTGCGCTATACGTATGGGTTTAAGGTGGAACATAAACCACGTGGTGCCTTTCTCCTGTTGCTGCAAATCGTGGTTTCACACTAGCAAGAGTGGCTTCTCCGTCGTGCTGGAGGAGTGTGATCTTTCGATGGAGAAAGATAAATTCCAAACAGTTGTCAATACCGAGAATCGATATTGAGTCTTAGAAAGCCCACAGGGTGTACTCTCTTAAAGTAATCGCAATTTTATCTGTGATGATTTGCATTTAAAATATACTTTCTTGGACCCAAGACTTTCGTGCCAAGCCTATTGATGATGGTTGCTTCTTAATCATGATATCATCTACATTCGAATTTACACTTCTATTTTCAACAAAACGTAGCTAAACTACATATATTCAACTTCATCCCTTAATGAAGCAAGAGTTATCCTCGTGCAATCTTGATATCTTCTCATATCCTTTTCACACCGTTTAATTCAGGATTCACGTTTGTGTTCATCTGTAAAAAAATTTTGTTTGCTCCAGCAAAATTTTCCTGTTATCTTAAAGCCATTAGTAGGTTGTTCCTTTCACGTAAACATTGATAGATGTATGTTGGATCCGAGGCAAATATTTAACCAACATGATGAGGAGTAAAAATATTTTGCAGTACTTTCTTCAAGACTCAAACGTGAATTGTATGAAAGTTATTTGAAATCTAATCACTCAAATAATGTATTTGCTTTTGAAAGAACTTACATTTTTGAAAAATGAACAATCAGTTCCTCAAATAACTATTTCATATATCTCTCATGCTTCAAATCATTGTCATATATACCAGAGTATCTATAGCTTGATCATATTCAAATCAAGCTATAAAGTTATACATCACATCTTGAGATTCACAAAATTGGATGACAAGAATTCACAATTTTCACTGATAATACACATCTTTTCCATAATTAAAATAACCTGAATTAATTTATTTTAAGTTAATACAGGTTAGACAAGTAGTTAGACTGGTTAGTTTGTCACTACATAAGAGAGTTAAAGGAAGCTTTCGATGAAATTTCTGTGGGTTTCTCATAGAACAATCTAAGGTGTTGGATGAATGTATACCTTAGTAGTGAACCACGTATGCCTAGTGTCCGCTGTGTGTGAGTGATGTCAGACCAACAATTACGGTATCTTGTCAGCAGAATGATTTAGCTTAGGGATTTTTCTAATCCCTTAAGTTCGCAACTATTGCAACGAGCAATGTCTTCCTTTTAAGCACGGAAATTGGACCTTTTATATGGACACGCAAGCCTTGTGAACGTTGTGTCTCGGATTTTGTGTCGTGTATTGAGTTGGTGATTTGGATTAAATTGCTTTTCTGTCGTGGTTGCGGGTTTATTGTGAATTCGCTCGAAGACTTAGCTTTGAACATGCAATTAATTAAGTTTGTCTTTCAAAGGCTGCTCTCCTTGCACTATGGGAACAATATTTGCGATAGAAACCAATATATTGCTACAGCAAAAAGACAAATCAAATTGAGCTTACGAAAGCTAATGTTGCCATTTTTTAGCATGTTCAAGATAAAGCATGAGGTGTTATGTGTTCGAAGTCGGCAAAGGTGAACCACATATGTCCAATATTGTATGTGATTATGCGTTCTCGTTTTGATTGTGGGAGTGCAATTAAGATTTCCTGATAACACTAATATGTTTGTATATTGATCTCATTGATAACTCCATCATTACAATGACAACATCTTGCCAAAGTACACATGTAATTGTCAAGATTTGAAGATAAATACCACTAGTGTTCTCCATACCAGATTTTTTTTTTCCGTTTTTGCAAATTGCAATTATCAATCTTAATATATCAGATGATAACAAATCAAAAGTCAATCTTCTTAGGCTGTAAAAATCTGACAGTGAATAAGAATCTTTGTCGCCTTCAACATTGTGATGTAAGCTACTTTAGAAGATGTTGATGGCTGATCCATTCGTTCTTTATCCAAGTACATCAACATTGACTTGTGCTCTAGTCTCTCAAGTCGACATACTTGAGAAATGAGGCGCCATGGACAAGCCATGATCTCAGTCAGCCAAGGTAAATGGCCCAAGCAAATGAGAGTTGGGGATAGGTCACTCATTTACTCATAGTTAGCGAGTGAGATTAACTATTTATGATATGTGTAAGTAGAGATGATCAAATGATAGCTACTCTTTGTGGATCTTATGGAAAGGAGTCTCACCACTGATACAAATTGAAAAGCAACCCGAGTTCGACTAGAGTAAGCCCTGTATTATACTTTATTATACTCTGTGTATAACACTGTGGTTAAATATGTACACAACCGTAGTCCGACTACGGTTGGAATACCTTTCCAATCTTTCCAATATCATGTGTAGATACTAGAGCGAGATCTAGCTTCTGACTTGCGTGGATATCCTCTTACTGGATACCTACACTCTAGCCGTTTTCACGGCAAAATAACATTTTGTAGCGAGGGTCAGAGCCTTCGAAGTGACATGGTTGTCACTAGAAAGTCCACTTACTACTCGCCCTCGTGGAAATTGCTCACTTCTACTGCAAAGCCCTTCTTGCTTGAACTAGTCATTGACAGTTACTCGTTCATGGGACCTCATGGCTTGGACAGGTTGTTACTGTTGACGAGTTTCGACACACGGCACTGCGATGGCGGTCAGACAGTCCACAACTAAAAAAGAGTTACTGCTGCTTCCATGCTCGTAGAATCGAGGGTTTCCTTCACAGACAGCTGGGTGATGTAATTTTAGTGAGCTGGTGACCCCACCTTGTTCTTCCCATAAAGAGGATCTTCTGTGCTAGCTTGTGCTAGCTTCGGCACTGCACAGTCCATCTACCCTTCACAATGCACTGAAAGGTCCAGAGGCTCATACAGCCAGCCCTCCCTCCATCCCTCCCTGAATTCAGGAGTCCAAGTTCTTCAAGTATCTCAGGGAAAGGGCACAACTCCAACGATGTTTTCGTTGCACAAGGGCGACTACCCCTCGCAGCTGTAAATAGTATCACTCGTTTCCTTCAGTTGGAAACATGCTTTCGTTTCGTCTTCTTGTATTTCCTATCACTGGTGCACATCTACTGGTCCGCATCTACGACCACCTATACGGCATCGTGCTGAGGTCAGGTTCTGCGCAAGCCAGAGGGACCAGAGACTATTGGACCACTGGTGTATAAACAGTTCTCGCTATCTGAACAGCTCAGACACAATCGGGCCACTCAACAAAGAGGCAAATGGCAGGACGGTCCACGCCTAGCACTACCTTGAGGACGTCCAGCATTCTGACAAAAATAACGAGCTTGGAAAACGAGGAATGAATGTTCACATGGTACGTCCAAGAAGGGAAAGGTGAGTCAACGGGAGTGAGGGATGCAGGTATGGATGGAAGCTACCGCAAGGCAACTGATAGCTCCTCGTTTAGGACCACAGCAGCAGCCTGCTTAGTTCCCTTGGCTGTATCTTCCATTTTGCGTTGTTCTAATTATTGGAGTGTTCGTGTCCTTAAGTTTTGGTTTTCCTTTCCCTCCATGCTCTGCCTCAAGCCACAGACAAAGTAGTACACAACATTTTGGTGCGTAGTTGTTTGATTGAAGTTGTCTCATGTGGGCGGGAGTGTGGCTGGTACTCATGCTAGGACGCCAAAGGTGTTCGTTAGGTCCATATCCACGCTTTTCTCTAGCCCATTTGACTCTGCAGGCATGGCGCTGCCAAAAGCATCGGCTGTAAGATCGGAACGGGTGAATAGTCTGTTGCCTTCCCAATCATTGGATCCTGTTGTGAATGACGTCGATCGCTTATCATACCAAAGGAGACAGAAGTTCCAGTAAGTGCATATGGAACGTGCTTTGACCTTGCCACGTCGCGAAGGTAAGAAGAAAGCGCTTTTGCGAGTCATGCACAAAGATTGTCACGGGATGACAATGCTTCGCGGTCAAGGAGACTGATCTGAAAGTGAAATAGCTTTCAGAAGCATGCCTGGTGACAGTCAAGACCTTGATCTTTCTGCATTGGTTTAATTGGCTCCTTGACCTGCATGTGACCGTAAAACAGTCCAGATTATGGTGGTCTGTCCGCTCAAGTGATTTCTTTTTGTTGATTCATGACCACAGACAGTGTGCTAAATCTTACTCTTTTGGTTTTGAAGAGTTTTGCTCATCGCAGAATTTTCGTAAGACATGAACAACGTACTAGGTCTCACTGAAAATTTCCTCATCCTCACGCTTGCGACTCACCACTTCGTCCGTTTATCTTCCACAGGATAATAGGTACAACATTATCATCCGATTTTCGATTGCATGATTGCCGCAATGCTGACACTCAAGTCATATGAATCATCCACAGGATTATCATTTTATCACTCTCCAGTCGATCTTCACTTCACTATCGAATCCTTCCCTAATTTCTAAAAGGACATAGTGGACTTTTCTTACATCCAGGTGCACCATCCCTCGAGTTCCCATCGCAGCACTGAATAGGAGCGAGTCATCAGGCATCATTGCTTGGATGAACTCATTCATCCAAGCAACTTAACAGGTAACTGTGGATTCCCGCATGACAGGCAGACGAAAAAGGTGACTCAGGAATCTCAGATGCATATACCAAACAAAATCTAAAATCCAACTGAGAACATGTGGCAGCAGCGTTGGAAATGAACGAGGTGCCCGGTAGGGATGCCTCAAAAGCTGGTATAAAAACGCACCCAGCGTTTATATAATGTTAAGGCCACACGTGAATGTGTATGCATTCCAACCTAAACTTATTGCTGACACTTGAATCACGATCTAATCCATCCTGAAAAATTGTCCTCTCATGAATGTACTAGAAAAGCAGGAAGCGAGAAAAAGCCGGGCGGATGATCTGTTGTACTCGTACAAGAGGAAAAGGCTAGAGAGGCGAAGCCGAACCAACCATAAAGCTGTGGCAGTGAAAAGGAATACAACTCGAGGATGGTTCTGAGTAACAGGACAGTCGAAGGAGAGACTCTGGATTCACTCTCCCAAGTGAATGTACATGCGTGATGTGAGATTTGGCCGACTAACCCTATGATATCATTCTGATCCTCCAAAAATGGGTGACAAAACAAGACTCATTGTCGAGAATTTGTCAAGTTCTAGTTTGGTCTATGGCTGTGGTTCGATCGATATGGCCGTCTGTCTCAAGCAGCGGTCGGGAAGATCTCACGTCGGTGTAGTCTGTCTGTCTACCTATCGGTCTATCTGTCTGGCCAATGAGAGGGAGTACTGCATTGACTCTATGTTTATTCGGCTACAAGCCCACAATTACAGCCCTGTGACTGGTATTGGCCGAGGCAAAGGAATCCAAATGATGCGTTCAGCTCGTGTGCGTGATGAGAATCTTCTCAGGTTGTACTTCAGTATTGATTGGACACTCGTGAGACTAGTTCATTCTATTTTACAGAAATTTACTGACCCAAATCGTCACTACACTGAACAATCACTGAAGAGGAAAAAATGCCGTTTGCTTGAGTCGCCAGTTTCTACTACCACGTCCACCAATCTGCAATCTTCAGCCTCTGCTTGCGATGCATTTTCAATTTCACTTCTGGAACTTTTTTATGCAGCTCCCTCCAGATCATGTTCACTGCGTCGTCTCTCTTTGTTGGAAATTGATACTCGAAATGATGGGCAACTTGTTTTAACCGTATCCACATCGCCAGCCATTGTTCTTGACTGATATTCCTCAATTGTTCCACAAGCCAGTCCGGTTCTAAGGACTCCTCTACCGAGTAGAACAAAGCAAAGGTGCTGTAATCAAGGACGTCCTCATATGGAAGTTCAATCTTATCACTGATAATCACTGGCACACAGTGGCTTGCTATGGCATCGAACAGGCGACACGAAGATGGTGTGTCGCCAGCCGGGTGCAAACAAAACTTGGAGCTTCTCATACCGACTGTGGCCTGCGGCGACGGAGGATACTTAAAAGTCAAGGCACAGGGGAGTATACACATTCAGCTTATTGGGACATAATGTACGAGCACGAGCATGGCACTTTATTAACTCGAGTATCAGGTTGTAGATTACGCAAGACAGTAATCTTAAAGAGCACACATCCACCCAACTTGAGGACAGATCAAAACATCCAGAACAGCTTTGATATCAGTGACTCACCTGCTGAAGCCCTTCTTCAGTTGCTGTTCCATCTTCAAAATGAACCTCGGTCTGATTTTGGAGAACACTCGCTAGCTGTGTTCTAACGACACCATCCTGGATCATTTCCCAACATTGAAAGTCAAAATCCCTCAACAAACACAAGGGTACTTCTCTCGGAATCGCGCTACAATTTGCTGATAAAGGGAAAACCGTCTAGACGACGGATGAGTTCTGACTCCAGTTCGTCTGTGAAGATTCCAAACAGTAAGAAACGAGGATACACACAAAGCGATTGGAGCCGAGAATTGAGTACGAACGTCTTTGCGCTTGATTCTGCCTTGGAAGAAGAGGAGCGTTTTTCGCGAATTGAAGGGATCTTCTTCGTTGTCGTCGACATAAGTCGGGACAACGTGAGTGTACGGAGCCACCACGTCCTTCCTCAGAGAGGACACTTCAGGAGGATTGCGTCCAAAATCAGCAACGATGAAGATGGAAGCGTTGAGCATATTCCGGTAGAACCTGGACAAGTAAGGGAGATCCAAATTACGTACTCATGAAAATCATAGAACCGATGTATCCGTGAACCCACAAGTACGAGGAGTATCTATCCACAATTTGTATGACAGAATAAGAATTGAATGGACTCTCTGAAATTATAAAACCAGACATACGAAATTTATTTTTCTTGTTCCTCACTTTCGCCTCACCACGATAATTTGTTAGCCTGAAAAGCTACGATTTAGATGTCAAATTTATATCCTTCCCTCTACCCGATGCCGCTATTGTCGTTCACGTCGAATAAGTAAATGAAACCAGTACAATGTTCCGAAACCAAAGGCGTTGGGGTATGCCCCAATCACCCCGATGGGCACATTCTCGGGAAGGAATTTTGTGACATTATCAACTGACGACCAATGGATGGCCAGTACGCAACGAGCCAGGATATGATACCTGAAGGCATTCGGATGATGAACAGGTATGATATGATCTTGGCCCCCAGAACGCTTCCAGTATTTGGAGGACATTGTCAAATTCGCAGCTTCCTCCTGCAATGCAAACAGCCAGTTATTAAAGAGGAAAAGTCAATCCTGGCACACTTCAGATTTTATAAATTCGCTCGCTTGTTTATAATCTCATCCCTCCGCACGGATCGCAGATGGACGGGAAACAATTCGGCACAGCAGTGCTGCAATCCACTTCTGCAGTCGAAATTCGAACACAAACAACACCTGGAGACCGGCCGAACTCGCAGAATTTGTCGAGAGAAACCGGCACGTAAATTCACTGACACCGCAATTACTGACAACTCTCGTTCTGCGTCAGACACGGTACTGGGAAGAACTACGTCCAAGCTCTTCGCGCACAATGTGAGGTGACGGAGGGTCCTGAATCTGCAGCTCTGGGCGATCGACGCAGAGGGCGGCGAATTCGAAATTGCTCTGGAAAAAAGCTAGAAAGCAGGGAACGGGGCCATCGCCACATCGCCGGGCACGGAGGTAATGGATGGGGGAGGGTGGCATTGGGGATATGGTTCGCAAGGCTGAATAAAAAATACGAAATTCCTCTGACATTGAATTCGGCACTTACTTGCAGTAATCTGTCTTTCTCCGTATCCGGATCTCTCATGTAATGCCCGTACCGGTTGAAACTAAGCGAGGAAAAAAAAGGCACGAAAAAGAGATCGGCGTGCTCTGGATTCGAGACTCGAACTACTTGTCGGTCCCCGTCGCGGCTGATGCGCCTGTCCAGCAGATCCACCATCATCCAGTACTCGACATTGTGCTGCTTCTTGAGGCCTGAGCGCAGGGGCCACACCGGAGGAGTTTCGTCGTCCGTCCACGGCAAATCTTGGTCGAGCACAGTGTTCTTCAACATGCCCAAGTGCAAGCGCCGCGGAAAGTCGTACACGTACACCTTGAGCAGGCAGCGCTCGCCTCCACGCGGAACCGCCTCGCTCGATCGCAATTTGCCCGAGGGACTGTAGTCGTACGCGTAGTCCACGGTGTAGTCCGGCGATTTGGACCACATGAGCCAGTCGAGCAGGATTTTCTCCGACAGGCTGGTCCCCGTGAAGAAAATCGGTAGGACCAAGGACAGGCCCACTACTGCGCCGATGATCGTGCACGTGCAGCCCTTGAGGCTTCTCCCCTTGGCCAACATTACCATCATCGCGGAGAGCTGCTGCTGCTGCTGCTGCTTCAGCAAATCCGACGGGAATCGATCGAAATTGCGCTGTGCGGGTTCGTCAGCTCGATCTCAAGCGAGCCGCGCGTGAGCAGGCTCATGCATCCCAGAAGTCGGAAGTTATTCAACCCTCGAAGACGTAGTCGACCCCGGCCCGGCCACCCTCGAACCCCAACGATCACAGAGCAGCCATTCTCCAGTTCCCTGCGTCGCCAGATCCCTCGCTCCCTGCCCAGATCCAATTCCGCTCAGCTGCTGCTCGCCCTCGAGCCTACTACACGCCCTGCCATTCCTCGCTCGCCTCGACATCTACATCTACATCCGCATCTACATCTACACCGACACTCATCCACTGCTGCTGTGGAGCCAAATTGTCTGCCTGCCAATCTCTGAGCTCCCGATTGCGCAGCATCCTCCCGTTCCCTCTTCCGTCACATCGTCTGATGCTCACGATCCGAGCCTCCATGCACCCTCATTGCTCGCTCGCTCGCTCGCGTGCACACGTAGCTTCGGAAAACCCACACCACCACTCTGACGACGTGACAGCCCACCACCACCCGCGCTTCCGCCCGAGGTACAGCCTCCGAGCTTCCTCTTAAGCTCTGGACTCTCCTCAATGCGCCACCGAACCACGACGCAATCGCTTCCTCTCTACTGCCAATGCTCCCCTCACTCCCGAATCCGCTTCTGCTGCTGCTGCTGCTACAAGCTCCAGTCGTCCTGTCCACCATAACCTCTCGCTGCTTCTTCTAGCCCTCGTCCCCGTCCCCGTCTCCACAGGCCCTCTGACGCCGTCCCCGTCCCCGTCCCCAGCTCCGTTCCGCTTCTTCGGCAAAAGTGAGATCCTCTCCGCTGTCCCGCTCATGAGCGCCCGCCGTGGGATCCTGCATCCGAGGGCGCCTGTCAGACCGGCGGTCAGATCCTCTCTGCTCGCACGGCCCGAGCTGGCTGCCTGGCCGCAGAGCAGCGTCTTCTAAACCGGCATGGTCGATGCTCCTCGGAAAGTTGATTTGAACGGGGGCCGTCCGATGGAGGGATCGGAGGGCGGTCGGAGGTTTTGACTTCCTTCGCTATTCTTGGCCGGAACAAGTCCCGGCCGGCGACTGCACGAGGCAGTCCGGAATCTCTCGCCCTACCTTAGCCACAGAGATTTCGCCGCACGGATGTCCCATCGGGCCTTACGTTCCTCAAGGTGACGGCTGGGATTCCCTCGCTAGTTAAGCCTGGGCCCGAGTCCTCCCCCCCAAATATGACGGCCTCCCGGGCCTACCTCCAGATCCTCCGCTCCGTCCTGTCTTCGCATCGTCCGATCGCGGATCCGACGGCCGATTTGCTATACAGTCGCAGTTCCTGTCTGGTTGGCCCCGAGGGACCGCGGTGGAGCCCACCCCTCGGCCCCGCGGTCGTACAGAGTTGACGAGGAGGAATCATCGGCATCTCCTACATACATTTGATGATGCTACGCCGTAAGCCTGAACTACAGTCGCCTGCGGCGTGCCGACATCCCGAATCGCGGTTCGTGGTCAACGATACCGAGTTGCAAAATCCCGAGCGCGCCTTTCGTCCTCGACGGGTGCAGAGAAAGAATGTCGAAGCGAAGATGCTGGAAAATGAGTTCTTAATCACGTATTCGTAATTGGTATTAGTCTCCGTAATCGCGACCGAGAGGGCGAGTTAGAGAATGCGGGTCTCGGCTCGTCGTCTCCTCTTCAGACGAGATCCACTCCACTGCGCCGAAGACGTGGCCGTCAAAGTGCTGACAGGGAATAAAGGTAAGGCAAGTCAGGCAGCATGAACGTAGCCTTGAACGTGGTGCAGCTGTTGTCTGCTCTGCACTGCAGCGATTGACGCCAACACTTACTTTACTGTTTTCCCCGTCGCCGGAGCCGCAGGAATTTTCTTCATCCCCTCTGATCCCTTTGAAATGACGAGTCGCACATTCTCTGATGCAGTCGACCACGGCATGCATCTTGGACTCGGACCTCTCCGACATCCCATCGCGATTTGTCATCCGATCTGCTCATTGCGACCATCGACCCCGTCAACTCGAAGCATGGGGTCGGAATTGGCCATTGTCCTTCGTTAGAGCTGGCAAATCACTTTGTTTAAGTAAATTCATCATTCGCGACGCAAATCGCTACTGGCTTCGGTGCGGTTACGTCTGCTGGTCGTACTGATGTGGATATCCACAGTCGCGAAAGCGTCACCCTTCACCGGACATCCGGCTGATAGACGGAAGATTTCTGGAGGCGCTCCACGAGGACGACACGTGTTGACGGGAGAGACCGGTCGTCTTGTTCGACAGGTCGCTCCTTCAGAGGTAGGTGGGGTCTGTCCGCTGGTCAGTCCCACGCCGGAGCGCTCCGACGGTCGGCCGGGAAGTCAGAACCGCAGGTGCACGCCAGGTCGGTGATGGGCGAAGAGTGAAGCCTGATGCTCATTCCCGGCCAGCCGCGCCGGTGAGCCTGGGACGGAACGGAACCCGAGCAGCAGGTCCCCGAGTTCTCGCTAAGGAAGGGAGACCGCCGGAACGCGGAGCGGTCGGTGGGATTTACCGCGGGACATCTCGGTGGGAGAAATCTACGGACCAGGAGTCAAACCGTTCCTGGGAAGCCGGCCTTGAGCCCATGGACGCCGGGCGACGCCGGTCAGGCCTGCAGAAACGGCTGGTGGGGGCCGGGGGTGTTAATGCTCCGTCCTGGCGAGAACCTTACGACCTGCCCGTGGCCAGAGGGCCTGCGGTTCACAGCAGTTTCGGGACCCGGCGAAAAGAGTCACGCTACTGGATGCATTGAGCTTTTTATTGAATGCTCGGAGTTCTCGTTATTCAGCCACATCGTTCGGTGATTTTCCTGCAGGGCCTGCATGGATTTCCATTTGCCGTTCATTCGCTGACTCCCTTGAACCGCTTGAACTTGCTCATCGTCTCGTTACAGGAGATGTGAAATCTCCTCATAGATCTTGTACTTCAGGTGCAGCTGCATCCCGTTCGTGTGAGGAGATGTACTTTCATCGTGTGGAAGAATGCCACGACTCCGACGATCGAGGTTGCCATTATGGTGCTCGCACGGTACAGTTGCATCTTGCAGCTCTGAAGCGTCCCATCTCGGATATAAAGTTGGTAGGACCAGAAAGAGTCAAGGTTGTACTCTCCAAGAGCATGATTTCTGACCAAGCTTTCTTGTAACCAGAATGAAACTCTAGTTCGCAATAGTAGCTCTCGAGTCCGAGAATCTTTGTCATACTCGTTTCTGCTTCCTTGCTACGAACCTCCAACGCTTTTAGAGAGGAGAATTGCGAACCATATCATTCTGAAGGGAAGCTGCATGCTACTTTTCCCATGTGGTAGGGCAAAACAGCTTTCTCTTTGGTAGGGTACATATCGAGTTCGATCGTTCTATACTTGGTTCCTTTCTGCTGTACCGAGGCTTGCTGGATTTCTTCTCTCAAGCAATATAGCTGATGGACACTATCATCGATGAACCTAGATGGGGAACATGGGCTAGATCCCGAAAGCATCATAATGTGAACTACGAGCTGGTGCAGTTAAGCTATCTCAATTATGTATTTGTATCAATTCAGTAGAGAGTGATGGAAGCACTTTGTCCAACATATGTTTAACAACAAACGAAATCAAGTGAGAACGCGAGTGCTTAGTTTGGTAGGATTTTGTTCATTCTCTAGCAATCATGTCAATGTGGAAGTACATACAAGGGTTTAGGGTATACTCCATTTTACTATGAGGCTAAATGAACTAAATGTACATATACAAAGTAAAACTTTCTCTATGTCCGTATACTTGAAAAACTGTTGATGGCTCATCCATTATCCAGGGTAATCATGGATGGATAATGGAAAATCATCACTCTAAATTTAAACTCAATGACAACTTCCATGAATATTTAAGTGTTATTTTTGTAATTTTAAACTCAAAAGACAGTAAAAAAAAATATGTCAAGAAAACTTGTTAAGAAATACTTGAAATTTTTAATATGCTGATTCTTCTGAGGAAGGAGTAATCGGGGAAGTTGCCAACATCAAAACGAACATATGCACTGCGATGTCGATTGTAGTAGTGTGGAGGTAAATATTGTGGAGCTGTGTCACAAGGATGTCAAATTTTGTGCTTGTAAAGGAAGGAACATGGGGAGACTAGGGTTAAAATGCTCGGATCCCGGCCTCCCGTCGAGCTTTTGAACCATTTGCGGCAATTAGATGGAATGGAGAGGTAACTTCGAAGTTGAAAATATATTACACATTGAACTCTCAAGGAGAAATCTTCAAACTTGTACAAACGATTTTGAATGAGTTGGATGAACTTCAACAAGAATTAAAAATCCAGACTGCTCAGCTTACTCTTGCATGTACTCAAATCTCTGGAAGTTGAAGAAATCACAAGATGTCAGAATAAGAAAGATGCAAAATAATTCTTCTGTGATGCTTCATATTTCCAAAACTGTTACTAATGTTCAGGCCAAGACAAAGTCACTAGTGACTATTTCCAATAGTCAAGTATTGAATGAGGTGGTAGACACTTTAGAGTCAAAACTCAAATCGAATCTTGTTCATATATCTTTTTGTAGAGAGTAAGAGATTGAAAGCGCCCTCCAATATGCCCATAGAAAGAATATTAGGATCTTTGATTTACCAAAAACATACAATGAAGATATGAAAAATGTTGTCAACAAGTTGTTTGTTGACACACTTCATGTTCATAATCCAGAGTTAGCTCAGACTTTTTGTATTGGAAAAATTGAAAAACAGTTTCAGATAAGTGCCTGGCAGTTAAGTAGCCTAGCTCTTGATCATACTGTTCTATCCCGGAGATCTCGGATAACAAAAAAACATCTTGTTTCAACGGTTCCGTCCGCCAAGCCCCAAAGCTATTAAGTTTGTCGATGGAGAAATGATTGGTACTTGATCTGACTCCACTACAAGTGGAAGCTAGTAGAAGGTAACTTGCAAAGATCAAAGAGTCTTAAGAATCAAATTTTGTTGTTTATTTGAGTGATGATAGAGAAATTGTTATCTAGAATAAAAAACAATCATCTACCTAGCTAAAATGAAAGTGTTGGTGTGAAATATTTGAGTACTTAAAAAAAAAGTAGCTGAGTGATGTTTCAATTTTGGAGATAGAGTACATCATCAATATTGTGGGGACTTGAAAACATAAAAATAATACTATTGTTGAGTTGCAAGTACTTACCTTGATGAATTTGACATGGAACAAAAAAAAAACAACAAGCGGTAAGATATCATGAACTTATTGTTATTTTCATTAGGTCTCAACTTTTGTCTCTCATACATCTAGAAGCTAAAGATATCAATGATCATCATTATTGGTTACGTCTTGGTTTGATTGGAGGATTTCATTGTTATTTAATAGTTTGTTATTTTGCACTATTATCCATGCTTATATACTGAAAATGGTTATGCAACCAAACTCAACCATTTCATCATCTCATTAGAGATGTTCTCAAATATTAGAACAAAGTGAATGTATTTCTAGCTAGAAATTTCAATGCTTGCATATGTTCAGCTCATTTCACCCAATTCAGTTGTTCATTAAGCTCTTCTATTTTTGAAGAAATTCAAGAAAATTTGTGATATAAAATGTATTTTGATCTTTCTACAAATTCTTTAACACAACATTTTTCAACTTTTGGAACCATTTGTAACTTGAAGGTTCTTAATGGAACCTTTCGTTTTCTCAACTCTCAATCCAATAC